CCATAACCTACTTCACTTGACACAGCAACATATTGGGTTTCTTCACTGCAAGACTGCAGTATAGTTTAGTATTGTACATGGGCTACTATTACCCCAGTATCCAAACTCTTAACTTTTTATAAGCTCAACTGTTTGTTTCAGGAGTTCTCCCTGACTGTGTATGCATATCTTGCTTGTACGAAGGTCCCTGATTTCACATGGAGTTTTGGAGTGCTGCTGTTAGCAAAGTATTGTCATGAACAAGCAGTAAAAGAAAATGCATGGGTGACACTTTTAAACAGTATATGAAAGTTTAGTAGTCGTATGAATATTTGTTAATACAGGAACTTTTCTCATTACAGTTAAGTGCTGAACTGCAGAGATATGATAGATATGATTTCAGACCACTGTCTTGGAAAATCCTTCTCTGTAAGGCAGCGTCAGGAAGAAAGAATACATTGCTTCCTTTGGCAAAAGCAACATGTCAGACTTCTTCTAAAAAAAGAAGTAAATAAATTAATGACTACATACATCCTGCAGATTTTAATTAAAAACATCTCTTGGTTGTTCTTTTTGCTTGCAGTGGCTTACTGAAATGTGAGCAGTTTGCACATTCAGTGAAAGAAGTTGAGTCTCTCTCTGTTAAATGTATTTGGATTAAGGCTTTTCCTGTTTTATTTAAATTGAAATCAAGCAATGTGAAGTTAAAGGAAAATATAGCAAGCAAATTGAGGAGCTTCACATAATGGTTTAAATGGTTTAAAAGCTTAATGGTAAGCTTTTGTCCTTAAAACTTCTGGAGTTTCTTTCCAAAAGATTTTTAAGGAAAACAGATTATGAAGAGCTTGGGATACTAAGATAAACTAAGTTCTTACATTTTTGTCTTTGTTATGATATGCAGTGCTTTAGGAAGCCTGTTTATTTTTGTGTAAATTGAATTTTATGTTGTAACTGTCTCAGTAAAATAGATTTTGGTTTAAAAAGTGTGTTAAAAAGTAATGGTTTGACAAGGTGATATTTCATTTATAGTTCCCTTTAGAAAACAGGATGGGGGATGTTTGAACCAAATGCTATATATAAAATTTGAAAATATTGCTATCTGTTTTATGGATCTTGGACCACATTTCAACTTGAATCTCTATAATATATAGCTGTAGTCTTGCAAACTTCTTAAGCCCAACATCCAGTAAGTTCTCAAGGGTAAGTAGCTTGAGTTTGAATATAGATGGATGAGTCTTCTCTGAATCGTTATCTATAAGGAAATATATACAAGCTATGATTTGTTAACTGAATTTGGAATAGAATGTATTGCTGCAAACCTGGAATACTGTTTTTAATATAATACACATTGTAAAATCACTCTTCCTTACAAATGTTGTTTAAGCCATGGCCAAGTTGTTAGGTGAATACATGATAATTGGTCAAATAGAAGGGAAAGTGCAGCTTGCTGGATCTTCAGGATGCTTCAGCACAAATTGCTCACATGTATGTATTCTCTTCAGTAATTTAATTTTCATGAGCTATAAAGTATATTTCCTTATTAAGACTGACTGAGTTTCATGCTGCTACTGGGATTTTCTAGCATCTCACCAAGCATGTAGGCAGAATTGTTCTAACAGCCTCATTCTCTACGAGATTATTTCCTGTAGTGATCCTGCCATGTTACAGCTTTGGTTTTCCTACTGTTCTGGGACTTCAGTCTGTGTCCATGTCACTTATTTTGACTATGGAACAACAAAATCTTTGCTGCTTCTGAATCTATGTAAGATGGTCTGGGTCTCCTTGCACACGGCTTACGCTACAGAAGTACTGTTTCTCTTCCCTTCTTCCAAGGGAAAAAGCAATTGGTTTCTGCTCTTTTCAGGAAGGGTAAAGACTCTGCTGCTACTCCTAGACTTTCATCTATTCCAAAGAAATGAAAGGGCAGATCTGCTGTATTTCAGCTCTTGGAGTCTGGAATACCACCAGTACTCTGCAAGGAGTACCAGATGCAGACACATTTGCATCTCAGGGTCTGCTGCAGTTGTTTTTAAGGCAGCAAAAGTGAGGGCTTGATGGCATTGCTCCAGAAACAAATCTTTTGTTTATTTATTTATTTCTTTACCAAAGCCTAATGTTCCTTTATGGTAAATCTTGGAAGTCACCCAGTCTGAGGAGAGTTCTTCCATTGAAATTGAGGGTATGTGAATTACTGGGTGTTAATCAACAGTTCCAAGGTCTCATAGAAAATAACAACAAAGAGTACGGTCTCAGACCAGAGCATTTTGCTATTATATCAGAAGAATATACAGGCTACATTGGATCCTTTTCTTCTCTAGGCTTGCATGAGCATCAAGAAAGGACAAAGTCACAGCTTTTCAGTGGTTGTGGCATTGGTAATTGTTAAAATATAACTGGTGGTAATTGGATTACTTTTAAGGCCCTGTCTACACTGTGATGGACTCAGAAGAGTGGTGTGGCTGTCTGATGGCAGTAAAGCATTCTAATACAATTGCATCCATCTGAAAGGTGAGGGAATTGATGAACTGTATTCTGCTGAACCTTGGTGTCTGTGAAGAAAGCTGGAGTTCAGTTTTAGTGTTGAGCATTGCAGCTTAGATACTGCAGCAAGGGCAAGTGCACATTTACAAAAGGATTGCGGGAAACGACCCAGAACTTGATAAAATACAAAGTCACAGAAAGAAAGACTTGGAAGCTGCAGAAGGCATTTGCAGGTGGGTATCAAGGCATGATGCTCTTGCTGTCAGCTTTGATTATACTTATTCACTTACCAACGTCTTGCAGTAAAAGGGCAATATGGAAGGGTGTTTTCATGTTATGATATCCACAGTTTTTATATGGAGATTCGTTTTCTTGGTAGTCCTTCAGCATGTCTGATACAGTTGCTTTGCATTCCTGGAATGCTGAATCAATGCAAATCACACTCTTCCTCTGCCTGATATTTGCTGTAGTGCTACTTAAACACCTGTGTTTAAGTTAAGCTGTGAGTAAGGAGACCTGTGGAGCTGTGCTTGTTTAGTTGGTCTGAGGTCAGCTTGTTGTGGCTTCCCAGGGAGACCCAGGTGAGGCTTAAAGCAAGTCTGAGGAGATTTCCCTTCTCCCTTGTTCTACACAGTGTGGTACTTCAGGATATGATACAGGAAAGCAGAGGAAGCTACAGACATCCTGAGTGCCCATACACCTTGTCTGTGATAGAGAATTTGGAATTAAAGCTGATCCAGCATAGTACCGAAACCATTATATGCACGTAAAGATGACTACTGAACTGATGCTTTATGGAATGTCTGAGAAGTGTATAAATATCTCATTTAACAAATCTGAGGGCATCAGCACAGTCTGCTTTATAAAGCAGAATATGAAAGAAGAGATCAGAGTTTTCTCCTTAGCTCTGCAAATGACTGGTGAAGTGGAGCAATATTGGCTCTTGAACTCTCTATTACAGCTGCACATGCATTGCTGCCTCTGCAGTTCTTAGGATCTGTGCTATCATCATTACATGTTTTTGTCTTTTTCTCTAGCATTATCTTAAATGAGAAGGATTTGTTCAGTCCATTAAGCCCAAAAGTTTCTTCTTGGTATCTTTTACTCAATTGTTAGTTCAAAGGTATCTCACTGGATATTAGTGCAGCCAATATGTATTGTGGTTGTACTAAAACACCTCTGGATAAGCAGATATTGTGTACCGTAGAGGAATATGTGCCTTCTTGTAACTTGTGTCTGTAATTTATCTGATTAAGAATGCTTGGTATAAAGCAGAAGAATTTCTTTTTAAAAAAAAAAAAAAAAAAAATTATGAATAATGCATTGTGTCTACAAGAGACTGCATTATTTCCTTCCTCAGGTTCTTGTACAACATAGTTTCAGTTCTTGGAATGCCAGTCTTGGTAAGAATTAAGAATTGTGTAAATTTTAAAGGCTGATACTACCAGTAGTACTTAATTGCAGATCTTGATGAAGCTGGTGTTGGTAAGATGACCATCTGTATGTCTTTTTAAGCTCTACTACTAGGTTGATTTTTCTCCTAAGGAGTATGTATTAATGCATGGGAAGTCCCCTTTGCTATTTCCATTGTAATATAATTTGGCTTTACATATGTCAGAATGCAGGTTCATTTGTCCTGGGTTTCTTTTTATCTCTTTAATAGTTAAGAGTGATCATAGAAATGGGGCTAATCTCTTTATTATTTTTTTTTTAAGTGCTGTAAGAGGAAATGGATTCTGCTTGTAAGAGGCTATTTCTGTAGCAGAGTATTCCTTGTAGGTGATATATTACAATTTAAAAGACTTAATGATCTGCATTCAAAGTTTAACCATAATGTTCTTACAATGGAGACCTTTATTCTCTAGAAAAGAAGTGTAGTCAGTCATTTGATAAAATACCTCATAAGAATAGTTTTCTGATTGCAATACCATTAGTTTTAACATCTAATTAATGAAAACAATTGAAAGTGCTGGAGCTAATCTCCCAACTACTAACAATTAGCAGAAAGAAATACATCAGTGGCACCATACTGTTTGTCTTGCTAGTCTCTAAGAATTGAACACATGTCAATAAGTGTGACTTCAGGTATTCGGAAATAAATTCTGGTGTTCAGTTTGCAAAGTCTGGATGGTTAATTTTTCTGAGATGATTTTGAATACTGCTGAGTTCCTAACACTCATTACTTTGTATATGGCTTACATGCAAATTTTCAGTCAAATCCCATTGCTGTTTACATTGATATTTTCATTAGAAGATGGTGGAGAAGAAAACAAGCTGTAGACCATAGAGTTTGCATTTCTTTGTGATCTGGTTGATACAAACTTTTTATTAAAGTTTATGTGAACCAGAGTTTTCCAGTCTTTCACAGACTGCATTTAAATTCTCTTAAGCCGGCTTTTGCGAGTTGAGACAGGCAAACTTCCATGGAGCACAGTAGAAGTTTTACATAAGTAGCTTTTGTGGCACTTGGCTTCAGTGATTGCTGTTTGGTGTTTATTTTGAGTGATAAATCTGTTCTAATTATGTACTTGTCTTTACAGTGTTCTGGATGATGAGGGGAGCAACCTGCGTCAGCAGAAGCTTGACAGACAGGTAAGATTTGGAGGAGTATCTTACTGCCTTCTGAAGTCTAGATCTTGGAGCAGTGAAATCTGCAACACGCGTATCTGGTAATTGGTAAATATATCATGCAAGAAAATTGCATCTCTGATTAGGGAATGCAAATGAGAAGTCTGTGGAGGTCACAGCTTATGTAAAATTCTAACTTCTACTGCAATTTTTCTTATGAGATTAACATCTCTACTGCCCTGAACTCATTTTAAGTTTGCTTACAATGTGCTTATCACATTGGTGGACTGAAAAGGACAAGAAGTTTTTGCAAAGTTGTTGGCCAGCAGAGATTTACCACAGAGTTTTTACATCTTTTCCTTTTCGTTCCATGTATTTAACCTCGTGGCTACAAACCAGTGGCATTATGTTCTATGTTATCTGTTTTGCTACTGTTATCCTCCATGATTCATAGAAAATGATTCAGAATCTCTCTAATGAAATCTCAGGAAATTTTGCTGTTAAATTTTAATGGGGTTTGAGGTTTCCATTTCACCTTTTTTTTGTGTGTGATGCCTCTTCAAAAACCTTTGTGTTTTATAATTAAACCTTGTAAGTTTAATTTTTTGTTGTTACATCCATTCCTTCTCCCATCTTTTTATTTTTTGTTTTTGTTTGCATGTCTGCTAGCATTTCATTTTCAAGTGAGAAAATGAGAAAACTTTCTGCTTATTGTTATGCTGACCATTCTGAAGTTGTCTTGGAATGTTACAGACACCTTAAGGAGCTGTAAGGCTCCAGTCTCCATTCTTGTTCTTAATTTCTAGCATATCCATATGGATATGCTTTTAAAAGCATATCCAAAAAGGATATCACTGTATATGAGCACAGGGGTGGTAAAGAAATGGATAATTAAAATTAACATTTCTGTTCTCTGAGACTGTGGAAGATGTCTCAAACAGAGAGGTATCAATGGAAACTGCACAAAGCAGCTGGGAGAAGAAATTTGTGAGACTGCCAGGATAATTCCTTGCATTCCGTCAGTATTGCTTTGGTTTTCTGCAGGTGTAGCTGAGAAATTCAAATGTTTAATTAAAGTTTGTCTTGTATAATTAGATTAAGCTTACGTCCAGCATTATCATTTGTTTCTAATTTGCAAATGATCTGCTTTTGATTTATGGAAATTTAAATTGGCATCTCTGTGTCTCATGCCCTTGCTTACCCTCCCATTGCTTCACAGCTTCTCTCACTGTTGTTTTTCCAAAGGTTATTTCCAAGTAAGCTCTGACAGCTGATAGAGTGCTCAGAAAGATCTATTTTAATTATTTGCTGTTTTCAGCAGAAGGTGTTTTAGCAGTGGGTTGGTGGTTTTTTTTTTCCCCGAAAGATTTCCTATTACCCAAAATAACCCAAGATCCTACTTGCCAATTCCCACCACTAGAAAACTTAGAAGACCTAAAGATGATCTATTGTTTTTCATCGAAGATTGCTATTGTTTGGAGTCCAGTAACCTGATTTTCTTTGTATTTTCCTCAGCGAGCATTGCTAGAGCAGAAGCAGAAAAAAAAGCGCCAGGAGCCGTTAATGGTTCAGTCCAATGTGGACAGTCGCACAAGAGCGCGTAGAACGAAACATTCGGAAGAACAAGCACCCTTGGTTGAATCGTATCTTAACTGCAACAGCAGCACCATATACCATGGTATACGAATGTGGTCTATTGCATGCATGTCTACTGCAAGTTGTAGTATGATGCTGACAGTGCTAAGTTCATGCTGTGAGAAGAAAGGTGTTATTTCCTAGTGAATAATCGATAACCTTCACTTGTTTGGGAGTAAGAGCCACTGGGCCATGGAAGAATAGGGAACAGAGGAAGGTAACTAGCTACCAGTTCAGATCAGTTGGCAATATTAAAGTGTCATCAGCCTTTGCTTCCTCTGAAGTAAAGCTCATACTGTACTAGTCTATGGATCTTGTCAGTGTTAATGATAAATTTGAAACTTCTTAACTAATTTCAACTAAGTTTGTATATCACAACCTCAAAGATACCACATTTCTGCAAGTTTCATTAAAGTAGGCGAGTAGGTAGAGAAGAATATCCAAAAGTTGTAAACTGTGGTCTGCGGTTTCTTATTAAAAATTACAAATTCCAAAAGGTACAGAGACACTTCAGGTGAAAAACTGTAAAGCCATTTCTGTACTGTTCAGAGAATTTTGTCATCAGCAATAAATCCTCAGGAAACCAGTCGTTATTTAGTTCTGTATTCAGGTGGCCCATGCTAGTTTATGATGTTTAGGTGTGTACTTTTCTCCAGGTTATCCTAGAGAAAAGCTTGGGTTGCACATGTTCAATATTGTGTCTCTTATAGATCTTGTTCCAGGCTGATAGTACATCCAAGAGGTATAAAGAACAGTGATCTTCAGTCTTTCTTGCTCTGCATATGTTGAATTTGATTCAACTCCATAGCCAAAGGCTTTCTTCTGTTAGTGTTGATGAGCGTGTGGGACATGAGCTGAAATAGAAGGGTACTGGGAGAGCAATGGCTGTTTTCAGATTGAGAATTCTATTAGATGGCAGAGTAGTTAGGGTTAAGCCTAAGATGTTTTAGTGAATCTACACCTGAACAAAAAAGGCCAAAGCAGTATCTTAGTTTTAGAACGAACAAAAGCATAACTGTCAGTCGTTCCAGATTTCTCTCAAGTGCACTGCGTGTGCTCTACTTTTTGTCTGTTGTGCAATGTCATTTTCAGCTAGTGGCCACACCTTTTAGCAGGGTTGTAGCAGACATTTGCTGGACTAACAGATCACATTGTGAGAAGTGTAGGTTTACAAATGATGGGCACTTTTTTAGTTTTAGGTTTTTTATGATTTTTAAACACGGAAAACATATTTCCTCTCTTTGCTCATCAGGTGCCATTATATACTGAACTTTTCATACTGTAGGTAGAATCAATAGCTCAGAAAAAACTCAGAAAAACAGGCATTATAATCCTATAAAAGGTAGCATATTATCTATGTTAATTGAAGTAAATTTTGCAACAGTTTGCACCATAGTGGACTTTCTGATTTAAGTGAGATTAACTGTGCTCTTAAGGTAAAGAGTGACCCTTCCTGTTATGCTGTACTGTACCATTTACTGGAATATTTACTAATCTCTTCTCCTTAAATCTCCTGATTTTTCTCTCAAACCCTTTCAATATTTAACAAGGTCTCAGAGAAGCAAAAGATAATGTTTCTCATATTCATCCTAAGAGTTTGTTAGTCTTTGAGGGTCAGCTGTCTTTGTAATAAGCCATGCCGTTAGCAAAAGCCGACTTAGGAGAATTTAGTTACTTAATAAAGTGCCTTATTGCCTTATAAAATCCTTTGTTGGGAACGTTACTCTTGAAAATATTACAAGAAATCTGAAAGCATCCTTTTTTGGTGTGGTCTTCTCTGGGAACGTTCTTAGTGTTTGCACGATACATCATTAGGTTCTGATGACCGGTTTTAACTACAGTATTCAACTTCAGGGTTGGTGCTTTTTTTTTTCCCCTTCAATGAATACATTTGTATGTGGGAGTGTCGGATGCATGAGACAGCTGGGCTGTTTCTAAAGAACTATTCTGCTCTTTTCCGTTCATTTGTTTCTGCTCTAGGCATGCAGATTTTTAGTTAAGAATGAGTCTTTGATGGGAGTTGAAGGTCTGCTGAATGAACTACATTGCTCGGATGAACACGTTTGTTAAGTCAATTCCTGTACAGCAAATGCTGCAAAAGGAACACTTTACACCTACCATCCTCCTCTACTCTTCTTTCCTTGTATTAATTCTATGCAGCACAAAAGCACTGGTTGATTTTGAAAAATAATTGGATGCCTATTTGGAGGTATCTCTGTGGTACTTTGCTCAAAGTAGGTCAGAGATAACATCTCAGAATTGCTGAAATGTTAGGCTTTCTGCACTGAGAAATTCTCTTTCAAACACTGCTATAGCTCACTGTGTTGCAGTAATCTTTGCTGCAGTGGTTCACTGATGGGCAACTCTATTCTGGAATAAAAGCTGATTTCATTCCAGAATAATTGTCAGAGAGTAGAGTGAAAAAAAGTCAAGATCATTTTTATTCTGGAAGAAAACATTGGCCTGGGAAGCTCTTTGTAGGCAGATAGCATGGAACTACATATTTTACTACTTAAGCTGATTTCTTTCTGTATAAGCACCCTTTGCCATTAGGTATGAATTTTCAGATAAATAACTTCCACGTTGAAGTATATCCCTCTAAAACCTTCTGGTTACTGTCATACTGGCTTATTAACTAATAACAGCAAAATTATTTGAGTTATCTGCTAGAACTGAGATGAATTTGATTGAACAGGCCAACCTGAGATCAAATAAATCCAAAAAGTCCATGAGTGGAGTTAATCCAGTTAGTCTGAGCTGGGTTACGAGCCAGTTTGCTACAGTTCCCACTACTTGCCAGCCAGCATCTGTGGATGAAGTAGGACTAGAAATTGTTTTCATTATTTGGAGGAGGTTGCAGAGAGATATTTTATGGGAACAGAATCTCTTGTTTCATAATCTTTGCCCCTAGGAATCATAGAATCATAAAATCACTCAAGTTGGAAAAGACCTTAAATATCGTTGAATCCAACCACAACCTAACCATACTACTCTAACAAACTTCTGCTAAATCATATCCCTGAGCAAATTTAGGCATACTAGCAGGAGAAGTACTTTAATGGCAGTATTTCTAGATTAAGTCCAGGACAAAACTGACTGTGTGGAGGGAGCAGGAATTATGCGTGTAAAATGAGCATAGCAGCCTTTTCCTTGGCACTGAAATGAATGTATTGATATTATTTTGGGGTCACGCCTGTAGGTTAGATCCTAGATGATCTGCCTGCCATTTCAAGCAGTAAGTCGTCTTCCATTAATTTCCATGATGTTTGGCTCCAGTTTATTACAAAGCCTGTTTTTCTTGTAGTACTAAATACAACTTCGTTACTTCATCATTAAAAATAGCTAAATAAGAACATGTGTTGAAATTAAGCATAGATTGTATATAGAAGATGACAATCTTTTATTCAGTGGGATAAGCTTAATCCTTCATTACCTTCTCTTTCTTGTGACCTTGTTTATTTTCAGTTCAGTGTCCTTCAGAAAGCATATTGTTTAAAGTTTTTATTAAGTGCAGCTTGCCATTCTGTAACGCCTTGCAGTCACATCTACTTGTTTGTTGTCTTGTATCTCTACACCCTTTATTTTGAAGTGCCTGTTCAAAACTTGAACAAACATTTTAGCCTCATATGGCACTGCAAAATTCGGCTGTGACTGCAGCTTTTCTCAGTCTGGATTGCAAACGTATATACAAATCAAGTAACATGCAGAGATACACTGCTTACTGCAACAATTTAATTACACTATTTAATCACATTTCATGCAAATGATGAAAGCCCATTTTTACAGGGAAGAGTAATTTTATATCTATGGAAATGGTGAATTTCCACCAGGGAGAGATTTTTCTTTTCGCAGCAGTGAGGAAGGCAGAGATTTGAATGCGTGCCAGATATGCTTTCATTAATATTACCATATTTTGTTGCAGCTGTGGCTTTTTTTTTTTTTAAAGACTTGGAATTAAAATTGTTTTCCGTTAGAAACTCTCTGAACAATTTTCATGTCAACATTCAGTTTAGAGATTATGATTAACCATGTGCTAAAAAGCAAAGTTGCTTCCTTGTTTTCCATTTTTGACATTCGCCAGCACATCTAGAAAAATGGTCCTGTATTGTGTTGAACAGCAGGTTTCAGGTAAAAGGCATAGGTTTGGACTGCTAAGTTTGACATGACATTCTGGCCTTCTGTCATAAAGGGTGAGAGACAGGTGATGAATACCAAGCTGTCAACTTTTATAAGAGAATGTCAATTAACCATTTAAAACAAAAGGCAAACAAACAAACAAAAAAACCGTGTTTAAGCATTCATCACAACTGTGTGTTGCATCCTTGTATTTCACTAACCTTGAAATGAGGTGTTAGTTTATTTTTTTGAAGGCAGCCAGGAGTGTTCTATGGACAAGACTATTAATATTGAGAGACCCGGCAGCACTCCAAGTATCATGTGGGCAAAACACCTAACTTCCAATAAGTATATTCTGAAATCTCCCTTACAGCCGCAGTCGTCTCTTTACCCTTCATCCTTTAAGGCATCTTCTTGATTTATTATCAGTCATTACCATTCTAGTACATTCCCAAAATAGATGAACCAACCCTGTAGCTGCAGAGAACAGCAGGTAGCAAGTCGTTTAGAGGTGTCTTTGTGTTTCTTGGTACTAGAAGTTTTGAGGTTTCGAGGCAGCTGAGGGAAACTTCTTGAAAAGCGCCCTTCTCTTTCTACTTGAAATACATTTCCTTGTTGCAATTTGATGTTGGGAAGCAGCAGCAGCCAGCAGCTCCCAAAGGAACAAGGAGTCTGCTTGTGAAAGTGAGCCCAGCACCGGCAGTGCCCTCACAAATGGGAACCCATCCCACAGGCTCTGAATGCAGCAGGCAGAGCTGGCTGCTGCCAACAGCATCCTCTGCAGTCCCAGATGCAGCAAGGAAAGAACTGGGGTCCCTCAAGCACCAACAAGTCCCCATGTACCCTTGTTCTTTTTGTCAGCCCTTTCACATTGAGCTTCAATTAACAAATATTTTCACCTTTGTAAAAATCATCCTGGTAATGCACCAGTATTAGGGGCAGAAGCTGCAGAGCCACAAGTGATTTTACAGGCAGCATAATTTTGTGGGAGCCTGGAATCTGCGCGTAAGTTGCTAGTTGCAGGGACAGTGCCTTTGATTATAAGCATTTTAATGTGAACATCAACTAATCGTGACTAAATATTACCTTACATGCCAGCATCTTTGCCCTCATCCAGCCCCTTGCATGTAACAACTTTTTTTCTTCCACACATTCTTTTTTTGTAGGCCTTCTGTACAAAAAACATTTTGTTCTACAAAAAAGTGGTTTTGCCTTTCTTCTGGGTATTTTTATGGAACCTATTATCTGTTTTAGGATGATAAAAGTGCTAGGTCAGTTCATAATCTTAAATTGACCAAAAAAAAAAAAAAAAAAAAAAAAAAAGCAAAAAAAATTGTTCACTAAGATTAATATGTTACAGAGCAAAGCAGTGAGCTGTTTTTGTTGTGAAACACAAGAACAACTCAGACAACACCAGGAAAAGCACAACTGATTTGCCCCAGTTTGTTAAGATACACCCTTGACTGAACTGTAGTTTAGCTTTCTTTGCGTGGTAATCTTTCTGGATTTCACTTTTACCATCAGAGAACAAATCAATACTGTGATAAATAGAGTGAATAGCTTTATAGAGTTGAGCTAGTGGTTTGCATCACATCATTTATCCATCTTTCTACATGAGGTGTTCTCTCCACTACTTTGAGATTTTTTAATCTGTCCATTTCTTTGTGTTCTTGTGTAGTTTTTATCTTTCTTCATTCTTCACACAATATACTGATCAAAAATATTTTTTCTCCTATCACATGGCATTGTTATGTGAGAAAGTTTAGTATGTTATGTTACAGTTTCCCTTTTTTCATTTAAGAACATGAGAGTATGCAAGTATTCAAGAAAAATAGGCATGCAAATGAATAAGAAAATCATTTTTATTGCAAGGCACTTTGAATTTAATTTCCTGTGTGAACTTACAGTCATGAAGGCCAGACAGAAAAAACATGCTTTTCATTGTTGTTCGCTTGAATATCTGCAGATAACTGTTTTTTAATATTTCTTTTAAATTCCTTGTTGTCTGCATCACAGATTATTCAGTAATGCAGAAGTTGCATCCTTCCCATTGGTTATGAGTTATAGCCCTACCCCAGTGTTGTCCAGCACAGAACTGGTTCATGAAATACTTCTTTCCACACTTTTGGCTGTTGGACTCCTGACGATGAAAAGCAAAGCCAACTCAGGGCCCTTTTCCACTTTGATGTCAAGACCATGTACTGCGTTACCAGTTCACTTGTTTGTTGTTCACCTTTCCCTCTTAGCTCTGATTTTCAACTGGTAAAGTAACCTCTGCTATTTTCTGTCTCCCAGGAAGCATGTTTTGTAATACTGCGTTGGGGTTAGTAATGAGCAGTCAATCTAACAAAAAGATGAATAACAGTAGAACTAAAATCATATCATTGTATTCCTTGATATCTTGCCATTTATCTCAAAGTAATTTCTTACAGTTTATGAGTCCAAAAGAGAATGAAACATGAGGCACGATGATCCAGTGTCATTTGCTCTTTGGAATTTTGTCTCAATGTAAGACATCCTGCTCACATTTCTGTCTTGTCTAAATGAAAATTCCAATACATGCAAATCTAATTGAAAAGGGAAAATCATCTTTAATTTTTTAATTAAAATTTTAATAATTTAGAGCTGGAAATATGAGGTATTGGACTGTATTTTTGAGTGTAGTCACCTTACAGTTAAGAGAAGTGGGATTTTTAAAGTTAACTGGTCTTGTTTTTTTAATTGAAATGACTACAGTTTTGAGTGTCATTCGTTGAAACTTCATCCCTGTAGCTGCATGTAAGAGTCTTTATTTGTCTGTGCTACAGGTATCATTGTTTATCATTTAACTTTTTAGCATCCAACTGAGCACATAATCATATCATTATAGCAGTTTCTGTTATGCAAGGAGGCCAGAGAAAACATTATCAAGTGGATGAGCCTTAGTAAAAGTCTGCTGTTCTCTAGGTAATCAGTAGCTAAGGATAATGTGGTGGGGTTTTGTGATGAAGATGATATTTTAGGATTTGATTTGAATTTAGTTTAGAACTAGTGCTTTAAATGTAATGTTGCAGGTCATTAGAAGTTCCTTTAGAATTATGAGATTCTGTGCAAACTCCTTTCACAAACCCATCTGTAATACTGGCACATTTATGGTTTAAGTTTTATTTTTCATCCTCCATCACTTATGTTTGAAAGTTCTGTTTACCATATACAGCAGTGATGGTGTAAGTTCAAAATGGCTGTCGCTTGGAAATTTTGCATTATAGATGAAAGTAGTGGAGGTATTTTCTTCTCTGGCCTTTGAAGCACCCATCACTGGAAGTTATGGGACAAAATGAATTCAAAAAGCTTTGGGCGTTTTCTTGTTTAATCAAAGGACAGCTGAGCAGACAGTGAGGATAAGTCTTTAACTTTTCAATGTACAATATCAGAACATTTAATCTCTTGCTTATTAATCATTGCCTTGGGCCAAGTAGATGATACTTCATCTGAAAGAATGAATGTGGTCATATTTAAAAGGGAACTGATTGGTCGTTGAATGTCGGTCATTTATAAAATAATGAAGTTCAATTAAAAGGAGGATTATCATCTTTAAAACAATGGAATGAACATACCCTCATTTTTATAGATCGACTGAGTTACAAGTACAGGACAGATTGCTGGGCTGACCAATCCTGCCTATTTAAAGACCGTGCAGCAGGGACACTTTGGTTCCCTGCTTAGTCCAAGGCTGCCATGCCTGTGGAAATAGGATGCCATGCTGCTGTGTATGTGCCACTTTCCCTGACATGCTGCGCACTCGCTCTCCAGTTCTGTCTTCTTAATTTCTGCAGTGCTCTGTGATGCTCAGCAAGGAGACTGCAGTCTTGGGATTTGTTTGATAAAAGACAGGAGTGAGGAACTGGGCAATGCCAAGCTGTTCATTTGAGCTATTAATCACTCACAGCTCTGCCTATTTCACCTACATACTCTGTAAAACTTGGGCTCTTGATGAAAAGGGAGTGTGTGTTAGTGAGTGCTCCAGATGCTCCTTGTGCAATGAACGTAATGCTCTTCATACTGGATTGCTGCTGTGAGGAGAGCAGCTCTGGGGTTGTAAGGTGCATTCACACAGGCTGACTCCATCTTACTCCTCTGGGAATCTCCTTGGTGTTTGCTTCTGTTGCTCTTTGTGTGCACGGAGGATTTGGTGAACAGAAAAGTTGCTTCAGAGACCAGAAGCTTGGGGAGAATTTTGCTTTTCAAAGGGATAACTGGCTGTCCACATATCATCACTAGCCCTTCTGTGGCCTTAGGAAGTGTGCCAGATATGTTTTTACCTAAATTTATAGGTGGCCAGTTTGTTCCAGTTAGATTCCTTTGAGGTTTTTTTATTCGTTCATTTATTTTGAAGAGAACAATTCAGTTTTGGGAGTAAGAAATGGTGGGAAGCCCTGAGAGCCATGGTGATATTCCTGTGGGATAAATCAGTCACCTCGTAAAGCTGGGGGCTTAGGAATTAACAGCAACCAGCAACTGGTGCCAACATTTTTTAGTGCCCACCTATTGGTTATTTTGCTTGGGATGTGAAGTTTGATGATTTCTTTATGTATTTCACAAAGATGATTGTTTTTATGCCTCTCTACCTTACCAAGATTGCTTGAATTCATGGCTTGGCCTGGCCAAAAGAAGGAGTTACTGCGTGTATTGCTTTGCACGGTTGAAATATTGACCTCAAAGTATGTCATGCTTGTAGAAAGTGATAAAGCCTCTTTTTACTTTGAAAGCATCTAGCAGTATGTGAATTATGCTGACATTCATAGTTCGTGCCATGCATAATATGCTGAGACTTCAAAAAATTAATTTGTGTGGTACAAACTGCGGGGAGTCTGTAATTTCAACTTTGTCTATAGTTTCTCCATAAAGTGCCTGGCTGTCCTTCTCATCATACTGTGGTGCTGACAGTTGCACAAGACGTGTTTCTCTGAGAAGAAAACCAGTGGTTCCTTGTTTATGGTTTTAGGATATAGTTTTAAACATAGACACTACAAAGTCTAAATGAAGCTCTTCTGCCTTTATGCTGCCGCTGTTTGTGATCGGTCTGGCAGACTTTAGGATGAGGAAATGGGCTTCTTACAATAGCTCAGCAGCACATTAATGTTATGATGTTATTTTTGGCCTGAAAGCTAGCAGCTAGCATGTTACTGGAAAGAGGGAAAAGGTTAAGAACTGCATCCCAGTTAACTTAACGCTTCCAGTTTTTTACTGTAACTTTGCAATTTCTCATTTATTTGAATCTCCTCTTTGCATGAATTATCTGAAATACCAAATTCTGCTATGCCTGCTCACAGCTTTATGCCTTCTCAGAATTCTCAATGCATTCTCTCTTCACTCTCTCAATTTGTTTCTCTCTTGTTTCTCTCTCTTTTTCTTTTTCATGGGGTACCCTGAATCTCTCAAGCAGTACAGGAGGCCGAACAGGAAGATGTAAAGGTGGCAGTGGATGCCCAAGCTCCGAAATCAACTAAAAAAGCCAAGGCAGCATCTGCAAGCTGTCAGACTGGCAATGCCAGAAAGGAGAAAAAAGGGAAACACAAAGGTTAGCTGCATGTTGCTGAATGTCAGATGTTGAACTGACTGCACCAATACCTTTCTTCTTCTTCTTTATTTTTGTTTCATTTCTATCAGAATCAGTAGCTTTCTGCGAATTGTCTGAAAGTGATTTATTGCAGTTTTTATGAGATTGAAAAATGCGGATGAGTTGGAGCTGCGTGTGTGAAGGAGGGCTGAATGTGTAAACCACGTCTGTTCCAAAGGAGCACGTTTGTTCAAATTCTGGATGAGTAAAAAAGTCCTGATGAAACAGATGAAACAGACGCTTTCCTGCAGTGTTAAGGAAATGACAACCATCTCACACCAGTTTGATTTTTCTTTGTCTGTCCGCATGCAGTGTAATTTGGAGGAACGGCCTCCATTCTAAGACTCTCACTGAGGCTTGAACGCTGCACAAATTTGAGGTTCAGTGAGAATTTTGAAAATTAAATTTGACAGATCCAAGATAATATCTTCAAAGGGATTCTTCGTGTTGTTATTTCAGGATTAACCTGTCCTAACTGGTAAAATTATGTGGGGTGTTTGCCTGAAAAAAAAAAAAGTCTGCAATGATTTTGGGTAAAATTGGTTAAACACAAAAAGCTATTGATAATGACAGAAGTGTAGGTAATATAATAAATATATATATAAGATTTTTTATGTGTGCACACGTGTGCAAAAGAGAGATTTTTGTATCATAATATGCAAGGTTTTTTATTTGATGGCTGATAACTAATGAAATTAATAAATACCTTTCCAATGGTTTGCAGTTCTTGGATAAAACCATTGTAAAACTGTCGTGCCTAGGCTGGACTGTATTCCCATCTGATGTTTTCCTGCAGTCTTTCTATTATTTCCTAGGTAGAGTGTAGTGTCTGTTGTTGACAAGTCTACTTAACAATAATGATGACTTGCAAAGGTAATTATTGAGGTCAGTGTATAAAGGCTTATCCACAGGGATTTTTCGGACTTGAGCCTGCCTTATCAAAATCCATTAAACCACACTGCAGCCTAATTCTTGAGGTGTGAATCTTCAGCTTCTCTATATCTGTAGTCCCCCTGAGACTGGGTTAGTCAGGTTTCAGAGGCTGGCCCTGAGGCAAAGAGTTTATTCGTTTATTTATTTGAAAGAAAGATGATGTTTGTTTCGTCAATACTTAAGCTTAAAATAATAAATAAAAGATGAGGGTAAAATTAACTCTGTGTAAGAACTTACAAAATAAGTGAACAGAAAGCTAATATTTCTGAATTTAACGTAAAAAGTAATTCCACTCCAGCACAGTCATACAGATGCCAGGTTTTATTCTAAAGTGGGTTTTACTGGAGAATAAAATTTCTCTTACTAGTTTAAGAGAAAACTTTCCTGAGGCTGCAGTTGAGCATTGTGTGGAGTAATACTTAAATTATTCCTACTGCATAGCCTTGAGGCTCTGTTTCATCTCATAATGCCTGCTTGAGCTGTCTCTATACGTACAGAACTTAAAATATTGTTCTGGTCAGATTCAGTAGGCTTAATTTGGGAAATCTGCATTATGTAACACCAGTGTATGTTTATGTATTTAAATTTGCATGTTTTCTAATCAGTTTTCTCCTGAGTTCTTGTTGGTTGCATAGTTAGCAGACTCTTCAGAATCTCTGCCATTGCTATCAGCTGCTTGAAAGGAGTTTTGTGTTTGGTTTTATGTAATATTTGAGGGATAGATGTGCAGCTTGTCCACTTGTTAACATTTGAGCAATCCAGGTCTGTGCCATGCTGTAACTTCTACATGTCCTATAACAGGATGGTTGCTGAGGGGTGAATGAACAATAGATGGTAAGATAACATTTTAAAGGTTTCTATTAGTGTTTAGTTATAGTATTACTTTTCTGAGTGCAGCTGAGCTCTTTGTGCTTAAAGAAGAAAAAAAAAAAGCCATTGGACTAGATCCTATGAATAATAAGCTAATTCAGACCAAGAATCATTGAATTATACATGAATAGCTCTTGCAGCTGTAATGTAATGATCCTACTCTGGTCTTAGATGTGTAATGCCTTTTTAAGTGGCTCAAAGAAGATGAAACTATGATCAGAACAATGTGCTAAAGATAAACATGAGGGAAGTAGCAGGTTTAATGAGGTTACACCGACACAGGGCAAGAGAAGGATGTGGCTAATTGCTCACGTAGAGCTGGTGGTTGCTCCTGAGTGAGGGTTCACTGCATTTTGTGATTCTGTGATGGGTAGTGTAGCATTTAGCAACTTCCTCTAAATTTGTGTTACTGCAGATATTTCTCTCTTTATGATGTGTCCCAAATACACTGTGTCTGTTTTTGAAAAGAAGCATCATTTTTATGGGAAAAAGCCTGTAAATGCAGTAAATTGATTGCATTTCGTAGTGGTATTTATGAAAGGCTGGGTCTCCAAGTTTACTGTTGGACATAATATTTGACAGAGGGAAAAATGAAGCAAATGAATACATAAAATGGTGGAAATAATGGATTGAACAGTGACTTGATTTTGAACTTTGTGATGCAAAGAAGTGTTGCATAAGGATATTAGTGAACCACAGAAAAATAGCCCAAACAAGTGAAAACAATTGCAACAAGGACCTATGAAAAACATGCACCCGGCATGGTATGCAAATACAAGATCAGAGCATCTTTAAATCCCTAGATTACTTGTTCAGAATTGAGATTGTACGGTTGTACATTGTGGTATGAAGTGGTTGGTTGTTGTTTTTTAGTTTGTTTTCTTTTTTCTCAGCGTAGGTTTGTGAAGTAAAGTGGTTCTTTTTAGCTTTTTGAGGTAAATCATGCAGAAGCAAATCAAGAACATAAAAAGAACCTTTATCAATATAAAAAAAACCCAGACAAACATGCAAAGCCAGAACATAATTCAAAGTGAAATCTGATAGGGAAATTCATAAGTCATTCCATGAGGGTTTGTTTCTTACTGAACCCACTGTAGATGTACTATGTTAGCATGTTCTAGGAAACATTTTCCCTTCCTGCACGTATGAATGTCAGAAAGCAGATGAGAAGCTGTGACACACAGTACTTTTTCTGCCAGGATAACTGTTTCGTGTTTTGATTTTACTTACTTCTTCCATGTTTATTTCCTCTCTCTCATGCTGGTCTGTCTATTTTGATTTGTGTATCCTGTCCCATTTTTTATGTAACAAGAAACTACATTAGTGCTGGCCAACTCAGAAAGTAGCATCATGTTTTGGACAAGAAGCATTATTTCTCATCATTAGTACTTACTCTTACAGGAATAGAAGAGTTTATGTAGAGTGGATTTATCTTGCTTTCCTGTGCATTAAAGTGAAAGGGTTGTAGGAGGAGCAAATGAGTTTCCACCAAGAAAAACCCTGTTGTTACCAGATTTGACAGCCCTTCCAAGCTACAATTTAGGAACACACAGACTTAATAGTGATGAAATCCAGCTACAGTTTTCTAGATTTCATCAAGGTGAATGTAGAGCTTGCTGCTCGACTGCTTGCTGTATTGACTTGATGTGATGTTAGCAACTTCCTTCAACTGAAGTTTAGTCTAGATCACCTCTGGGGTCCTTTGCTAAAAAAAAAATGTCTTTGCATCCTTTTCCTTACCAACAAATACCTTTGTGATTTTGCATTTGCATCTCAATGGATGTGCAGTCCCTAAGAGAACAGATGTATACTGGGAAGTGGCTTAGAAAATATTAACAGCTACACTATACTTAAGGTGAGGTGATCCTAAAGACAGAACAAAAATTGCATTTTTTGTACCTCTTTAAGCATTCTCTCTTTTGAGGAGAATTAAACCCAACAAATTTTATTGCTTTTCTAATTAATGGACTCCTGTGCTTCTAGAAGATGTAGTTTCCTGATATTTCATTCTAGCTATCATGCTAGAGCTTTCTAAGTAATCACTGTGAGAAATAACCCTTTTAATTAACTGAGTTTTGCAATACTGCTTTCTTGTACCACTGTTCCAGAAGTAAACCTCATTATACTTGTGGTCTGACTTCTGGATAGATTTGAAAAACATAATCAACTACTGTTTTTCTTTTTAGCTTAAAACACAGATCACTTGAAGCAGTGGAAGCAGAAGCAAAGTTTCCTTTCAGCCAAGTTCTTTAAAGCCTGGAAAGTCTCTTTGTTTCTGTGTCAGTACAATAAAAATGGATTTTTCTGTCTCTGACCTTGGAGTAGGCTAGCTGGTTTTTGAAGCTACAATCTTAAGCTGGCAGAAAAGTTGCTCTGCAGTTTGTAATAGCAGCCTTGCTGCTGGTTGCAGCCTTGCCTTGTCCACTTGGATGTGCCTTCTGTGTTGGACCAGTGGCTTGTCTAACCTGTTGTCTTTCCTTTTAAGATGTGTTTAAAGGAAGAAATGAAGGAATGTTTCTAGTGTGTCGGTGGTATTTGCGTTTGCAAGGGAAGGACATAACTTGGACTTGTTTTTGAGTTTGATACACATACAGCTTAAGCATATTCTTAAAACTTAGTGTGTTAATCAGTTAATCATTCTTTCCTATGCTTACAAGTCCATGTAAAAGTACCAGTAGGAAATATTGCTGGGTAATTTGCCACTTTTTGAAGCTTGAACTGATTTATACAAGACTAACATTGTGCACTGTCTGTTATTGTCACATATCTGTATCTCTCCTTGTGTCTGCTCTGGTTCTCATCTGTAAGCAGTGGTCACTTTCATCAGCTGCCTCTCTGAGCTTTCCCTGGTCATACACAACTGGATGGGATGTAGTTTATTCCTCCTCTTTGAACCCACACACCTCTCCAAGTAAAAGAATCACACAATGGCCAGGATTAGAAGGGACCTCAAGGATCATGAATTTCCACCCCCCCTGCCACATGCAGGGCCACCAACCTCCTCATTTAATGCTAGACCAGGCTGCCCAGGGCCCCATCCAACCTGGCCTTGAACACCTCCAGGGACGGGGCATCCACAACCTCTCTGGGCAGCTGTTCCAGCACCTCACCACTCTCTCTGTAAAGAATTTCCCCCTGACATCCAACCTAAATCTTCCCTCCCTCAACTTAAAACCATTTCCCCTTGTCCTGCAGTTATCAACCCTTTCAAAGAGTTGATTCCCCTCCTGTTTGTGGGCTCCCTTTAAGTATTGAAAGGCTGCAGTGAGGTCACCCCACAGCCTTCTTTTCTCCCTCAGCTCCAAGCCCAGCTCCCTCAGCCTGTCTTTGTAGGGGAGGTGCTCCAGTCCCCTGATCATCTTTGTGGCTCTCCTCTGGACCCTCTCCAACAGCTCTCTGTCTTTCTTGTACTGGGGATTCCGGACCTGGACTTTTGCAGTTGACACCAATGGAGTCACCAGCAGAACCATTTGTAATGCTTGATAACATACTCTACCAGTGATGCATATTTTAGAATGCTGGAATTGATTTTTCTTTTCTAAAAGTGTGCCCTGCCAGGGTAGCCTTTGTCCTACTGCCTAATAATACATGATGTTCCTGACAGCATGGGATGTGAGCATAGATGTGCTGCAGGCATCAGAAAGCAGCAGCCTCAGAACAGTCTCTACTGCTGTCAGTCAGTTCTTTTGCTGCAGATATTGGTCTGCTTGGAAGAGGAATAATTAGGGTTTTGTTCCTTTTGAAATGAGTTCACAAAGTTAGGTTTCGAGCATCCAAAACTTAATCAGGTCTAGATGTGCAAAAAGGATAAGCATCTTGTTCGTGGGCGCTTAATGCTTGACACTGAATGTTATGGTAAGAATTGGTCACTTTAAAAATGATGATTAATATGAATAGAGTCGTTTCAAGTACTGCAGTGGATCCAAGCAGTTCTCTGTTCTAGAATACCTTTACTGTAGTACTTACCCTGAAATAATTGTCAGCAAAACTGCTAGTCTGCTCACTGCAACATTATGCCTACAGCATTGGGAATTACACTGTTCAACATAAAATTTGTCCCTACTAGTGTACTTAGGTAGCTAAGAATGTTTCTGTTGCCCAAATTGGTATGTGAATGTTTGGATGCCATAAACTTTTTGAAGTTTCCTTTGTTACTGCTTTTCTCAGGTTCAGTGCTCAGTTCACTGCAGCCGTTGTTTTGCATTTGCTACTTTTCAGTATATCAACGACCTGATGAAAATCCTTGTGCTTGTACTGTGAGTGGTGGCAAATAGAAAGTTAAATTTACTTTTTTTGTAGCTTTCATTATTTTTATATGTTTGTTTTTGACCTCTTCTTTGTTTGATTTGACTTAGGCTGCATAAGATTAAAGTGCGGGTGTCTGGAACATCCATATCACACTGTATAATTTAGACTTATGCAGTTTCCTAAGAGAAGTGTCAACAGTAAATATGTTGAAAAGAGGACTTCTCTGTTTTGGGACTGATGCCTTACAGTCAAAATTTTTAGAATTTAAATCACGGCTGGCAAAGCTTGCTGAATAAACACAGCTTTGTGTTGTGAATTATAAGACTTGTGAAGCAGCAATCTGTTTGTCCAGTGAACTAGAATTCATTTAGACAGCATGCATTTTTGTCAAGCAGGATGCAGGATTTATGTTTAGTTTTCAGTAATTTTAGTAACAAAGCACTTGGGGAGCACTTGTGGTTTGGCAGACTGTCCTGGGAAACATCTCCTGAAAGATGAAAACCAAGGTGAGAGGAGCTCTGTTGTTGTGCAGGAAATGGCAGTGGAGGCCACAACTAAACTAATGGCACTCCAGGCTTCAAAGAGGAAACTTTCAAAGAATTTGGAATGATTTGAAAAGCGGAGGACAAGAAAACATGCAGGGACATAGGAAGTTTAGCTCCTTTCAGTGATCAAAGGTAAGTTTGAGAGGTGCGGTGGGGACTGACTTCTGAAGGGACAAGGTACTTTATGGTGTAGAATGTGTGTTGCTTAACAGATGGTGTAAAAATAATCAAGTAGCAGGAACTCAACAGGCCTGTTCAGAATGAGTCATGCATGTGGGGCATGGAGGATAAAGCACCAGTAGAGCAGAGGCCATGGGGTTGCAGTGCACTCCGTGTCACACGGAGCATTCGAAACTCTTATCTTGCCGAGATGATAGAAACATTTCCTTCAGCTTCATTTAGACTTCCTAGGTTGGACAAACGGATTGTTTATTTGTTGTTAGTTTTGCTGTAACTACACCAGAACTTACAGATTGGTGCAGAATTTGTCATAAGGTTCTGCATGGTGCAGCAGAGTCAGTAATTTCTGCTGACCTTGAAGTCTGACTGGGGGAAATGTCAGTCACAGCTCCTCTTGTCTCTCTCTTTTTCCATCTAACCTGAAAGTTTTTAAATACTTCTGTGTTGTCAGACTGCATCTTGTTAGGTGGCAGCACAGTCAGTGCTGTTACTGAGGGTGTGGACCACTTTTTTTCCTGTTTATGCTTTGCACCACAATGACAGTGACACCAGGTATGGCAGCGTACAGTTAAGCATGCTAATGTATCAGCCAGTTGACTTGTAATGCAAGCTGACAGCTACTGGCAAGGAAGGTTGTAATGGTAATCTTGGAGACTTCTGCTACAGGTGACAGTCTGCAAATACCCCAGTCCCTAACAGTTCATTCTTAGAGGATTCATTCAACTCTGTTTGGTCTGAGGAGCAGCATATTCTTGCGCTGAGCTACCTCTTTGTAATGCTTTTAAGACCTAGCCTTTAAAACAGCAACGGCGCAAGGGGTTATGTTATTTATCACACCCGTAAATGATAATAGTGCTTTTTTATTGGTGCAGAAATGCTTTTTTATATAGCTAGTTTAGTTGTATATTCCAGCACTAAATCTTCACTAAGGGCTAACGCGTGTTTGCAGTCTGATGTTTCAGCCGACTGTCCTGAAGGAAGAAGTTAGCTTATGATAAAAACACCCCCCCACACTCCGTATTTCCATTCTTACATCTTCAGAGCCAAAATACAGCAATCAGGAGATAGGTAGAGCCAGAACTCAGAATGACAGCACGGCTGAGGTTGGAAGGTGCCTCATACACTGCCTTGACCTCCATCCCTGCTCAGAGCAGGTTGCCCAGCTGTCCAGTCTGATTTCAAGTGTCTCCAAGAATGGAGATTGCAAGGGATATTTATTGTCTTTGTATAGTTTCATTCTGGTTTTCTAGCTGTATGACAGTTTACTGAATTGGTAGGCATATTTGGGCTTGTTAGTCTGATGCTCCTGTTGTGTATGGTGCTAGTGCTGCAGGTGAATTTTCTAGGTTTCTTGGTTCTTAATGGGAGTCTTCACGTTTTATAGGGAATACGTCAGAATCTGGGACTCAGGTTTATTTCCAAACCAGTCGTGTCCCCCTAGGAGAACTGCATCTGTTATTTGTCTTTCTTCTCCGTTTGATTTCTGTTCAGTTTTCCATGAATGGGTACACTGCCTTCAGGATGAGGAGGGCAACAGTGAAATTCTGATCACCTCTTGGACATTCTAAAGCACAGCATATGGGAAGTGAGGCTTTTGCCTCTGGTACTATTTTAGTCTTGCTTAAGTCTAGAAAGTGTTATTAAATATGAGCCTTTGTGTCCTAGAAGCATGCTTTTTGTAAGGGAGTGATTCTCTTTTCAGTAAGTTCTTGACACAATGACAACTAAGGCTGTTGCTGTTGTCTGACAGGAATTGATGGCCCAGCTGCTTTTCAAGATGATGTTCAGAAAGCAGGAAGTCAAGTGCAGATTCTCACTGTTGGGCAGTCTAGCCATGATGAAGATGATGGAGAGAAAATGGCTACTGGCCAACAACAGCAAAGCAAGCAGGACCTTAAAACAGCAATGCAGAAAAAGGGTAAGTAGCCAAAGCCACTTCAGATTCTCATTGCTAGCTTTATTAATATTGATTCCTTTTCTTGTTCTCATGCTCAGCCCTAGCAGAGATTGATATTCTTCCTTTCAGGCTCTCTTCTATTCTGTCTCTAAAAATAATGAAGTTCTCTCTTGTCCCAAGGAACAAATGTTCCCCAGGCTCTCAGAACTGTGATATTCCCATCTGCAGTACAGTGTGGCTACTGAAACACCAAGCAGATGCTAATGCTTATATCCATCTGTTACATTTTGATACTTTATGACTCCGGAAATCACTTCTATGACAGCTGATGAAGAATGTGGAATAACAATATTTGAACTAGAATATTAGTTTTAATTTTGCTGTTGGTTAAACTCTATTTCGGTTTCACAATGTATGTTCATGCTTGGAGAGGTGAAAATTACAATACTGCATTCTGCAGCATTTGTCCCACGTTGTCCTGAAATGCTCTCTGTTGTTTTGTTTTTTTTCCTAAAGGCACACATGATTTAGGAGATAGACTGTGTATGTATGCATTCATGCATCTGTGCTTTCCTTCCTGCAGTGTTATTATCTTTTGTTAAACATTATCCGTAGGAAGGAAAAAATCCTAAAATCTTCACAGAGCTTTTTCTGAAAGCATTTATTTAGGAGGAGTTCTTCTTCAGTGCATGGCTTTTGAGGCTAAGATGGCTTGAGCCAAGTGTACTCTGATGCTTTAAGAATAAACTCCTTGTGTATAAAGAGCAAAATGTAAGTGCAAACTTGACTCATCTAGAATAGACTATTCATATCTAAATGCACGCTTCTTGTCTGCAGCACAGTTCTCACTAAGATTCATTTTTTCTGGGACATTACTCTGCAGATGTGAGCAACTTCAACTGAAACAGGCATATTTTATCCAAGTGGGGCACTTCCTGGGCATTTGAGTCAAAGGAATGTTGGCATGACTAACAAGTTCTGATCTGTGTGATGATTGTGTTGACTTAGACTATGGCTCAGAATATGTAATAGTTGGATACACTACTTACTAAAGCTGGTGGACCTAAAAATTATCAGCAGACTTCTCAAATTAGGTCAGAGCAGTCAGATTTTTACTCTGGGGGACATTTCTATTTTTGATGTTATTCTCTCGATTCTTTTGTTTGTTTTCTCGGTAGAAGCAATGTATGGCATGACCTTTTTTTTTTTTATCCAGCACTGAGCATACTGCTGACCAGAGCAGACACTGCTGAGGCTGTTTGACTGGTATGCTTCGAGTCTGTGTAGGGGCTTTGTTTTTGGGTGTGCTGGGGATAATTTTTATTAACAACAGAACTGTTGTCTGTGGGACACAAAGAAAAGTATTAAGACAGTATTAAGACAGGACTGCAACTAGTAGTATCTCCATAAAATATGTTTACTTCTGCCTATGTGGTTTTGCACTTGATAGCAGTAAAGGAGACTTGATAGTATCCCAGTAGTCCTGGAAACCTTTACGTAGAGCCAGGGCTTTTTATGTGGATTCCCACTGCTGCTTCACTGCTTGTGAACTGCTGCTTCCTTTCTGATGTGTTCCCATTGGTCTGCAAAGCATTTAGAATGGCTTTTTCCCATTAGTCCACCTCTTGCATGTAACAGGAGCAAGAGGAGAAAACCACTGAGCTGAATGCTAGCTGGCCTAGTGGGAAGAGGCAGGTCAAGTCCCATTAGATTTGCTTACCCTGATTTGTGCCAGTTCTGCTCTGTGACTTTAACTTTGTGAAGAGAAACCTCTCTCAGCATATGCATCTCTCCTCTCTGAGGATCACTCAGCAAGTCAAGCTCAGTTAGGGGGCATAGGATAGCTGAGTGTGAAGAGAATATGCTGTTTGCAAGAAAATGCCAAATGTTTTATTTGATTTCTCCGTCTGTTGGAAATTGCCATAGCTAGAATCAGTTGCTTCCTGCAGGAAATACTTGTCCTTTTAATTTCAGAAGTTTTAATATGTATAGGTCCCTGCTGGCAAATGAGTCACTAGGACAGAGCCAGACTTCTCTAGGTTTCACCACTCAGTAATTAAATGTCAGTCTTCACACTTATCAATTTCTTGTATGTCTCCGTAAAGACTTGGGATGAACAACTTGTTCTTCACACAGATCACAGAATCACAGAATGGCCAGGGTTGGAAGGGACCTCAAGGATCATGAATCTCCAACTCCCCAGTCTTAGTTCTTTCCACCTAAAGTTACAGCTCTTTTGAAATTTGGAGAGGGAATAGATTTGATTTCTGGATTCAGGAACAACACAGAAGCTCTTTGAAGCATTCTTTCCCATAAGTCTTCTCTGCAGGCTTTTCTATAACAGGCAGAGAATTTTCCCCACCAACATACTACCTGAATGTAGAAGCAAATTATCTATGGCTGTGCATAGCAGTGTATGCAAGTATGGCTTTTCTGCACGGATGCCAGCTGAAGAGATGGATTCCTTCTCCTAACCATGACTAGAACATTGGTTGTCATCATTAACAACTAATGTTTGTGATTAATGTGCGTGATTAATAATGAGTGAGTTCTGCAGGCTTTAAAAATACCATTTGACCCATGAATTCAGGCTCCCTGCATACCCACATCCTACTAAAGCTTTCTGCTGTCGTGCTGGGTGCTGTATGTCCACACTGGAGCAACTGAAGAAGTAGACTGTGAGACCACTTATGGTACAGCTGAATGAAATTCGAAAATTGCAGTATGCTTCTGTTTCATTTTTATTCGCTCTTACTGCTTTGGTGTTGTTTTATTGCCAGGTATGCATCTGGTGTCAAAAGCTATTTTAAAGGGCGTGTATTGAAGTAACTGGAAAGAGCAATAACATAAAAAATATTTAAGAGCTTTTTGGTCTATTTTCCTCATTCATTTCCAAAATTGGAAGTGAAGCAAACCATTACTGGTACAGATTCTAGTATTTATATTTCTATGGTAGTTCAGTCTCTGCTTATTGCAGACCAAGCTCATACTCCAGTGACTGAGTTGCCTGAAAATCTCTGCGTGTACCTGTGGGAGTTCAGAAGCACCATTTAGATAGCTTAAGATAGATAATGCACACACGTTTGGCACAGGGTTTTAGGTAGAATTTAGACCATCCAAATATCTGAATACTTCTTTTTCAGTGTTACTGAATAAATATTAGTATAGAACCTGTGTTTTGGAAGGGGTTTTTTTTTGGTGTGTGTGTGTTAGAATTAGGCCAAAAACTTGCTATGAAGGGCATGTTGTTCACAAAAGTGTTTGTGGCACAGCCTTTTAGCATGGATGATGCTTTCTGAAGCTTGAGCTCCATGAATCAGGACTATATGGCTTTATTCTAAATCACTAAAAAAGTGACAGTGGGTATAGTAAATGGAAAGTGAATTTGGTTGTGCAGAAAGGCGTGATGTTCCTAATTGAACGTTGTGGCAGCAGTGTTTTAGCCACATGTGGTAAGCCTTTAGTGCTGTGAAGAATGCTGTTGATGAGTTATTTGAGTTTGCAGAATCATTCCCTTAGATGTTTTCCTTTCCCAGATCCCCATGCAAATACATCCTGGTCCTCTTCCACCTCCCAGTCCAGTCTGGTCGCCTTGGATCATGCTCCTGGTAAGTACAGAAAGAAAATAGTTCATTATGCCCACGCTGTTTAGCCCTGGAAATCATTGAGTTTAATTTATGCTTCTGTGTCAGGCTTAACAATAGCAGAGATTCTGGACCAGATGGTTGTAGGTTTATTTTGTTTCATGTTTTTTGGGGGGTTGGGGGGAAGAAAGCGGGTGAGAAATACTGCGTAGTCTGCCTCTGATATGAGAAACTTGAGTACAGGGTGGCTTCATCTGAAAAACTACACCTGGCGAATGTCCCATAGTTGGATACTTTTTGCTGCCCAGCCCTGTTTGATGTTCAAAGTTTTGTTCCCCTTTGAAATGTCTGAGGCTTTGAATTCTTTTAAAGTCAGATTTTTAAGCACTCTAAGGCAGAACCTTTGGCCTAGGCTGGTACTGTTTTTTTACATGAAATAAATATGCATAGGAATGTTTCCTTAATGAATGGTTTCTTCTCAGTGTAAGATCTGCTTTTTATTGGATCTCACAGGAACTGTTAAAAGTGTGCTGTAGAAGTGTTCCTATTTTAATTGTTAAGGCTTCCAAATGGCCGTGATAGGTTGTCTGCTCAGTCATGCTGTGTTTGAAGTACTTGATGGGGTTGAAATTTATATTTAATTTCTCACTCTGTATTCTTCTTGTATCACTGCTTAACAGTCTTCTCTGTGGAATGGAGACCATGCTATTTCCTGCCTCATGTTTTGGTTTCTCCATGCAGGTGCTGCCTCACCACTCGTTTGTATGGTGCCTCACATAATGAAGCCCCTCACACACACATTCCTTCTCTCACCAGTAAGCCTAAGGGTGCAACAACATAAGAAATGATATTTTTATGTCAAGTATTAGTGTATCATAGTGCACTGCTTTCTCCTCAGGCATTTCAAGCAGCATGAATTTCGATGAGGAAGAGGATGAGGAAGATGCAGACAGCTCTAGCTCTTCCCAGCTAAACAGTAACACCCGGCCTGGTTCTGCCACAAGCAAGAAATCCAGTAAGGTAAGTAAGGGCTCAGTGCTGAAGAAGGAGCATGTGGGTCACTGTGTACTGCATCAGTTCAGAGCACAGTCAGGATGGGCCTGTTTTTCTGTTTTGTTTTCAGTATGAACTACAGCATCTCTGAGCTAATTTACTGTGAAAGCTCTCATTTCACAGAAGTAATGAAAATAATGACTTGGAGTGAAGAACAGCAAACTTGAATGAAGAGAAAGTTAAACTGTAAATATTTACCCTTCTGCCTCTTGCAGGATCTCAGAAGGGTCTTTCGTTTCTATTGTCTTTTTTTCTAAGCATTTTTTCACTCTGCTCTTGTTGGTGCTATCTGAAGATAAAACAAAGCTTCAGAGGTTTGAATATCCAGCTCTTGTTAATCCAGTTGATGATGGCTCACTCCTCTGTGTACTTCAACTGACTTCTCCTCCCTCTTAGAGTTTTCTGTACCTTAAACTGTCTCTCAGCCATCCAATATCTTCTTTTCATCAAAGAACACTGTTGTCCACGGGTATGAACCTTCTCAAAAGAGGAAAGTTTTGAGATGGAAAGTGTGAGCCAGAGTTTGATTTTGTAACGTGACAGCACTCTGTGCAGCTGCCGGTTCTTCTTTGCCAGATGTATCTGTGTGCTCAGCATCAGCAGGACAGAGAACTGCTTTGTGGGCCTTTGTTAGGCGAAAGCTCAACTGGCTGAACAGGGAGATGTCCTTAGTTTGATAAGTTGCCTTGAAGGCCTCTGTGGAACTAGAACGGAGGAAACTGTGTGTCCCTTTTGTGTGTTTTTTGAAGCGCGGCTGTTAGCAAATGTCATTCCTTCATATTTTGAAGTTTTCCTTCTGTTTTAGGAAGTGGCCTCAGCCCCTAGTCCTTCCACAAATGAGCCTCTCATAGATGTTGATGACCTGGAGGAATTTGCTGTAAGACCTGCTCCACAGGGTGCCACCGTCAAATGCAGAATCACAAGAGACAAGAAAGGAATGGATCGAGGGATGTACCCTACCTATTACCTCCACTTGGAAAGGGAGCATGGTAAAAAGGTCATAAAATAACTTGAATAGCATAACAGTTGCATCTGAATATTAAAAAAAATAATAAAAAATCTGAAGAAGGCTTACAAGGAAAATGTAATCTTGTATTTTATATGCCTTATCACTGAGACCAGCCCTAGTCCTCCAAAAGCAAAACAATATCGCTTTGTTCTGCTGCCTTTCTTCATATGTCTAATCATTGGCTTTAAGTAATCCAGGCATGGCAGCTTTTTGTGAGAGCAACTGGGGCCTTTGTTCATTCCGTGGCCTGAAAAACATCTATTTTCAATTCCAACGGTAGAGACAATGCAACCTAGAATTAAACATTTAACAAAATAGATTGGATTTAATTATTTAAACCATAACTAATGGACTGAATGGTTGAGAAGTCACTTTCCCGTCCTGATTTTTATCTGGTTTTGCTAAGTGCCAGGAAACCTTCTTTTACTTTGCTTATGATGCTAGAAAACAGAAAAATTGCCTATGGTTTCCTTATATCAAAGCAGAATGTGGTGTGTTCTAACCCCTTTGGCATTCTAAAACATGATGGTTTTTTTGCACTGCTCAGGTGTTTCTGTTAGCTGGAAGGAAACGAAAGAAGAGTAAAACCTCTAATTACCTCATCTCCATAGACCCAACTGACCTGTCTCGAGGTGGAGAGAGTTTTATTGGAAAACTGAGGTAAAGATTGAAGCATATCAGATTTTTTTTTTTTTTTTAGTATAGTTCATATAAAATTAGGAAGCCTTTAATCAATGTGACTTCTTCTTTGGAGGTTTGGATAAATGAGATGGTAGTGGTAATGCAGTTAAGCAGTATCCAAGACATGGTTTCAAAATGTCTCAAGTAAATATCAATAAATAATTAAAAGTCAGCAGACTGAGGCTCTTAAACATTCAAAGGCCAGATTCTCAAGAGTTATGGGTATCTGAAGATGCAGACAGCTTATCTTAATGAGATTTTGAGAAGTGCATGAGCAGATTGTGTCTACCCACTATTGATATAAACACTTTGGAAGTTCTGTCTCTTAGATAATCTGAAAATCTCTTGGGTTTTGCCCATTTCTTGAGATCCTAATTAGAGATATTTGCATGTAGTGGACTCTACTCAGAACCACTTGCTTCTTTTCTGTCTGTCATCTCATCATGCATCCATCTGTTGTTGGGACATATGTGGTGCCTCTCAATATGTCTTTAGTTTGTCTGTGCCTGAGGAAAGGAACTACACTGCTAGTTGCTGTTTGCCTGTATGGATCTCAGAACTTCATGTGCTGCTGCAGTGCAAACACAGAATGAGGATAATGCAGTGTTAGTGTGCTCTAAGTTGTATTTTGCAGTCCTTGATATGATTTTCATTTAAGTAGTAAAAACCAATCTTATTTGTAACCTTATGAAAATCACTAACTGTAGTCCAACAGAGTAGCAGTCAGGTGAGAAAGCCAGTGATATTTTAGATGGTAAGCATTTTGTGAAAAAAAACAACAACAAAGAACAGACAAGGTAACCCCAACCTCACTCAGACATTTCTTAATTGCCTTCTTGAATTTACTAGTTTGTGAGATGCCACGAGAAGTCTTCAGTTAGGGACCTTTACTGTGCCCTGCTCTACCTTTACATTTTTGTTGTGGCCTTTAATCTAGAAGTTACAATTCAGTTGGGATTCGAGTTAACTATTTGTACTTCATATTCTTTGTCCTTTGGAACTGCAATGCAGTGAAGGATAGATATCTGAGGCAGTGTTATTGACAAATGGTGATCGGATTTTCCATTTTTTTGATAGATCAAATCTTATGGGAACTAAGTTTACAGTTTATGACAATGGAGTAAATCCAATGAAAACAACATCAAGCCTGGAGGCGAGTGTCCTGCGTCAGGAGCTAGCTGCTATTTGTTATGTAAGTACTGCTCACAGGCAAAATGTGCAAGAAAGGGCAGTTCAGTTTCTGAAACAGCACACTGAATTTCCTTCTCACTTAAGGTTATGTAAATCAACATTTGCACTTTCATGTAGTGAAACATCTGATCTTCAATAGAGCAACCAGGAAATTCGGTGGAAAGTAAGAGTTAAAAGTCATTGTGCACAGAACCAGGTTGCCCAGTTCTCACTTTCGGTCAAAAGCTGTTAGAGGTTTTACATAACCTTCCTGAAGGGGTAGGATGCTTCACAGCCTGCAGACATCATCTGAGAGAGCCTCCAGAGCTGGGAGGAGCTGCACACATGGAATTACTGCACTAGGGCCTGATACTTTCTAATGATATTTTAGAGGAGGCCCCTGCCAGACAAAACAGAGGTAGATGGATAAGAGGCAGATCAAAGCTATTAAACTCCTTTTTAATAGGAAGACAAAATGAAATCTAAAATGCAACTGAGCGAGAAAGCAGCCTGTTAGAGGAGACTAAACAGTGTTTGCTGGGGCAATGCAGACAGTCAGGACTTAAAGCACAGCTGTTGTTTTAGAACGATTCCTGGGTGACTGTTATGATGAGGGTATTCTTTCTGTCCAGAAATCTCTGGGCCTGAAGAATTCTTCCAGTCAGAATTGGTAAGTGCAGTTCTACAGAAGGTTTTCTGTTTTCCCAGTTCAATAACTGACAAAAATACCCAAGAACACTTTTGTCTGAAAAGTTGCTGTCCAGATCTAATCAGGAATGCCTGGAGCTCTTTCAGTTTGAAATCTAGCCATTGCAGCGTGTCCCTGTGTATGCACAGAATGTGTTTCTGGAAAGATTTAGCTTTAGGACATGGAAAGAAATGTGGGGAGCCTGGAAACTTTAAGCAGGAAAGGAAAAGGAAAGTAAAGAGCAATCCAGTTAGCAGGATTTCACATCAGAGTCCAGAATTTGATGTGAGTTTCTATTCATCAACTAACGTCTCAGTAAGAACCTAGAGTAACTTGCATTTTTAATAAAGGGAATTTTACCAGTTTACATAGGAGAGCATTCACTGGATCCAGGTAATTGTTTGGTGCACACTGGAAATACAAGGAGAAGACAATAACAGTTCAAAAAAGGTCATGCACTGAAAAGTCAAGGCACTTCTTGTAAGAGTGAATAACACTGATATTTGAACCATTAACGTTACCAAATAGACAATTCCGCTGCAGCCAGTAGAACTATTTGGAAATGCAGAGCAGATATTGCAAAGAACAGAAGCATGGCTTCTGAGAAAATGTGGCTAACACTAAAGCTGTTTTTATATGCTGTTTTCAGATCAGCAGTATAAAAGTTGTACATTTGTATAGGAAGATGACTTAGTCCACTTGGTGTCATGGAGAAAGGCAGAAGGCTTGCAGGTGTGCTATGGCTAGAGGACAAAAGGAAATCTGAATGATGTTTCATTAATAGATAGGTTTGCTAAGATAAGATTATTGTTGCTGGCTGCAGCAGAACCACAGTAAAAAATGCTATAAAGAGCACTCCTGAAACACCCTTGTTCTAAAGTATTCTTTTAAATCCTGCCTTGAGATTTTTCCTGCAGCAAAAGCTGTAATAAACAACAGGCTGAAAGCACCACTATGCTGTTTGCTATCTTCCAGCTCATCCAGTCAAGTACCCATCAGGAGAGCAAGCTGTACCTGGTTCCACCAACTTACTGCACCTGACCTGCTGATGATTCAGCATTCTAGTTTATACAGTCAGAAAGTGTTGATGCATCTGCTCTCACTGATGTTCTTTTAGAGCTTAGGTGGAAAAATAGTGTGTTCTAGAGGTCCCTTCCAACCCCTACAATTCTGTTTGGGCATTGGAAGTGAGTTTGGGTGATGTGGGAAGACTTAGAGAGATGCTGTTCACCACTGTAGATAGAAATTTGTGTGGCCAAAGCACAATTGGAGTTGAAACACGCCGGTACTGTGGATGACAACAAAAAGGGCTTTTCTAAATATGGTAACAACAGAAATAACAATGCTTGGTTACTTTATGAGGATGATCACCACATAAATGGAGATGCAGATAAAACAAAGATGTTTAATGCCTTCTTCAACACTGATGATGGGCTCTGGGACCAACTGCAGGATCTTCTCTCTTGCCCCTTGTGAAAATTGGGAAAATTTGCTGGTTGGCTGGGACCACTCCAGGTCTGTGCAGTTTGTGGCAATATAAGAAGGACGTAGAGTTATTAGAGAGTGTCCAAAGGAGAGCAACAAAGATGATGAAGGGTCTAGAGGGTGGGATGTACGAGGGAGCAGCTGAGATCCCTTAGTTTGTCGAGCCCAGAGCAGAGGAGGCCGCATTGTGGCTGCAGCTCCTCTTAGGGGGAGTGAGCTCTGCTCTCTGGTGAGAGCAATAGGGCCCAAGGGAATGGCATGGAGTGTGTCAGGGGAGGGGCATCTGGGAGATAGGGACAAGTTCTGCACCAGAAGGTGGGCAGGCCCCATAACAGACTGCCCACAGTAATGTCATAGCCTCAAGTGCCAGAGTTCAGGGAGCGTTTGGACTGGGCTCTCAGACATAGGGTTTGAATTTTGGGTGGAGCCAAGTAATATTTAATAAAGCTAATGCAATAACGGAGTTTTAACAAGTGCTCTTAGCCATATTTACTCTTCTTGACGATGGCGGGCTGGCATATTAATAAACCTAGAGCAACACCTAATGGCTGATTGCAGAATCGCTTGGCAAAATTATCAAGAGGCAGGGAGGTGTAAATGTACTGCTTGTACCACTAGATTCTGTAGCAGCTTCTTTTACATCCTTAGCATCTCACAATTCAGATTCTGCAGGCAGGGAGCTCAGCTGATACTGCAATGTATGGCTATGCTTTAAATAAAGCAGTAATAAAACTACATATGCGAAGAGTGGAGGGAATCATAGCATGATAGAATGGCCTGGATTGAAAAGGACCACAATGATCATTGGGTTTCAACCCCCCTGCTGTGTGCAGGGTCGCCAACCAGCAGACCAGGCTGCCCAGAGCCACATCCAGCCTGGCCTTGAATGCCTCCAGGGATGGGGCATCCACAGCCTCCTTGGGCAACCTGTTCCAGTGCATCATCACCCTCTGAGTGAAAAACTTCTTCCTAATGTCTAACCTAAACCTCCCCTGTCTCAGTTTAAAACCATTCCCCCTTGTCCTATCTCTATCCACCCTTGTAAACAGCCTTTGCCCCTCCTGTCCCTTCAAATATTGGAAAAATACATCTTTCTGCTCAAACTGTGATTGCTTTCTTTGTGCTCAAATGTCGTTTTGAGGTTCTGGGCTTTCTCTGGAAGGAATCTGCAGAATATAGGAAGGACAAGGCACATCTGTGTAAATCAAGTCCAGAGAGTGAAGTTGCTGAAGGCGTATTTGGGGTGACTCAATTGTGAGTTCCTGTGTTCCCCTATGAATGCTATTTGTAGTCTTGAATGTATGCACAGTGTAGTGGAGCAGGGACATAGCAGAGAAGCAGGTAAGGGAAAAGGACAAGGGAACTAATTGTGTTTGGATGAAAGGTATACTGGAAAGGTCTGCTCTTTCTTGAAGCTCTTCTTTTGTCCCTACTGTTTTCTTCGTATGTTATACACCTTTAGAATCTTAATCCTGTACCTTGAGCTTAGCAAAAGGGTCAGGTTTGCCAAGAAATCTTTGATGTAATTGTTGATTGAAACAGTGTGAGAATAGAAACAATTCCCTTAACGTTTGGCAGAAATGCTGATTTTTAGCACTGAAGTAAAATCCAAAGAGCACAGTCAGATTGTTGCAGAGAGATAATGCTACTTGTTGGGAGGAAAGTGATTCAGCACTATTATTTAATTTTACAATGTTTTCAACCAGTCGGCATCTAAATGAATTGTATATAGCGTAACTGCAGCTTATGGAGCAGTAAGCTTGTAAAGCATTGCAGGGAAGAGCAATATTGTCAGTATCTAGTGGAAAGTAAGCATGAGCATGCACCTTAGATGTATTCTGCTCTGCTGAATCTCTCATCCTGCATATAAAATCTGCTGACAGCCTTTTTTGTTTGAGTTTTGTCACTATACAAAACCAAGCAGATGCCTCCAGCTAAGCTAAACATTGGTTTACTTTGCCAAGGGCCATGATGTAAGGGATTCAGAAAAGAGGTTCAATTTTCCCAATTAATGTATATAGTCGTGGAGATATATAAATATACCTGGATTGCTTCAAGAGTATTCATTAAAATGTCTCTGTGGAATTTTCTTTGTGTGCATTAAAAACTTCAGTGAGTTGTTTAGAATCTCCAGATGGTTTGCTGAAATAACCAAAGGGATTTCAAAGGTCTGATGGATGGAAAAACGTGTTCCATAACTAGTAAATGTTGCACAGACCCCTGCACGTGGCAGAGGTGAAAGGGAAAGTTTACATGTGACAGCCCTGACGTCTCCCTTTTCCCTCCCAAAACTACCACAAACTAAGGGATGGATTGGATCTTTCAGAGGTATCACTGTTTCATGTGGTTCTGTTTTGAGAGGAGAGTACAGTACTGGATGCTTTTGTAAAAAGCTGGTCAGAAACACATCAGATGACACTTACTTAATGGAGGAACTTGTATTTCATGTTGGTGCCCATGGTATCTCTTTTATTTCTCTGCTTTCATAGCTCAAAAATTTGCATTCATGCTAATGTGTTGTGTTGGGGTTTTTTTTGCCATGCTCATCTCTAAGCATAACATATCCAAAGACTTGGGAAGCCACAGCACTGGCAACAGACACTCTTCCTGGCAGCTTCTTCTTGTTCATCCCTGTGCTGACTCTGGAATAAATGTATTTAATTTGGTCTCCCATCAAAATGTGTGACTACATTTTATGTTTTCTAAATTACAACTACTTTGTTTTCAGTTTTAGCAGTATCCAAACAATCTGGTTAGTCCATATCCTTATATTTAACAAAGGGATTTTTTTTTTTTTAAACTTGTATTAAGGTTGCTGGTGCCCAGTGCTGAGAATGTCTTTGGAAACATGCCTGCTTCTATTTTTCCTGTTGTCAGAGTTGCTCAGATGAAGCTGGAATGTTTGGCATGCAAGTAAATGTGGGAGCTCAGAATATTTTTTGATGGATTGACTTAAGGCCCATGGGCTGCTGCTCTACTGTTCCTCTGCTGAAGAAGTGGACTTTAAAAATACAGAATATGATGAACTCTTTTCTAATTATTTTTAGGAAACAAATGTCCTGGGCTTCAAAGGACCTCGTAAGATGAGTGTGATCATACCAGGAATGAATATGGACCATGAAAGAGTTTCCATCAGACCAAGAAATGTAAGTCATACCATTGGTCAGTCATAAAAAAACACTTGAATTCTCCTTCAGTTAGAGTTTGTTCTTTTTTCAGTTGTTATTCTTCATTTCTAGAGATTCAGAGACTAAACAAATATTTTAAACAGATGAATAACAACGGGATGTGTGACTAGTTCTGTGAGTCAGCACAGCACGACAAATAACTGTACTTTGATAACAAAAGATACAGCTAACCTTTTCCAAGGTGTGGAAAGCACTTGAGCGCACAGCCTCGTTAAGATACTCAGAAATCTCTGTTTCATTCTATGATGCTGTGCTGAGAATTGAGAAGGACAGTTCAGCCTTTGGGATTGATTAATGGAGTCGTGTGGGGGTTTTTTTGGCGTGAATATATTTGTTCATCTTGTGAGACTGTTAACCCGAAGCGTTCATCTGCACTGTGTGCAGGAACATGAGACGCTGCTTGCAAGATGGCAGAACAAAAACACAGAGAGCGTCATTGAGCTGCACAACAAAACTCCCGTCTGGAACGATGACACCCAGTCCTATGTTTTAAATTTCCATGGTCGAGTCACACAGGCCTCAGTGAAAAACTTCCAAATTATTCATGATAATGATCGTAAGTATCATTCCTTATCTGTAATGAGTAGCAACAGTACTGCATACCCAACCTGAGAGTGATTCTGCCCTTGCTGTTACCTGAGTGAGTTTATTTTAGTTGCTTGGGTCCAACTCACTGCTCCTCTGCCTCGTTCTTGAGACAGAGGACAAAGAGTACAAAAAAGGAAAACTATGGAGTATTTTTTGAGTTGACAGGACAGAGATGTGACAACATCTAGATCACAGTCGTATTTTTTCTTCCCCTCTTATCCTTACTTGTCCACTTGCCTGTAATTAAGTAGGAATAGAACTAATTCATTCTTGATACATGTGAAACTCAGCACACGTAATGCACTTGAACATGTTATGGAGAAACAGTTCTCCTTCTGTATTTGCAGAAATACCCAGATCTATAATTTTCTAACAAGGCTCACAATCCTTGGTCACTCAGATATTCCTCACTCAGCCTATCCTTGCTTCTCCCTGTGATACCACCACACCCACTCTCACGAGTTACGTGTTGTGAAGTTTGATGGGTGCAAGTTTGTGTTTTGTTCAGCTGGGCCAGAGGAGGATGTTGCATGTATGCTTATTGAATGAGAGCTGCAAGCAAAACTAACGCTTTGTCGCTTCTTGTGGCCTTTTTGCAGCTGAGTATATAGTGATGCAGTTTGGCCGCGTGGCTGAGGACGTGTTCACCATGGACTACAACTACCCAATGTGTGCTCTACAAGCCTTTGCTATTGCCCTTTCAAGTTTTGACAGCAAGCTGGCTTGTGAGTAAAGGGGCGTGGGAGAGCGTCCTCTCAGAGGAATCGGTTTGCCGTATGATTCCCAATCCCTGCCGGTGTCACTTATGGTCCGTACTGAGGTCAGGGAGAATGCAGTTGTGGAGGACCACCGGATTGCTGGAGAGAAATTTAAAAGGAACCTTCTAAAAAATTCAGGACATTCAGGAAGTAATGCTTTCCTTTTTTTTTTTTTTTTTTTTTTTTTCTTTTTCTGTCATATTTTTTTCTGGAAGCGGCTTCGAGTTTGTGTAAATAGAAGTTCTATCTCATGTCCTTGATTATGTTCTGGAGGTGTGCCATGATCTACTGTGGCTCTAGTAGCACCGTTACAACGGTGTGTCTTTTTTAAACCCAGAAAGTGCGCTCTCAACAAATTTCTTTTTGCATTGTAAGAATTATTCCGAGGCTGCAATCGTACCTCAAGGTTGCATTCCTACAGCGAATAATCAGATCTTCACTTCATCCAACATGAAAGAAAGATCACAAAAAACAAAAAAAATAATGCACTTTTTTGAATTTGCAAGGATCTCATGTAGCTTACGGCCAAGTCTGAGGGTTGAAAACCTATCTGGACTGAACTTGATGTATCACTATTGTACGTGTAGAGAAGGGCATGATGAATTTTAATCACAGTAGGAGGAAAAGGAGAAGTAGAAAGCACAAAATAATGTTGCACAAGTCACTTAAATTCTAAGCTGTCTTTATGTTTTAACATCTATGTGCTTTTTAATTTGTTTCAAATGAAAATGTATGGGGGAGAACAGAAAAGGGAAAGCTCTAGATGCCAAGAAATCGTAACGTACGTTGAATTTGGCATGTTGCGTGTTGGGAATTTATGGCCTTGTATTGCTGTGGTGATTCAGCCATATTTTGTATGAAGTGATACAAACAGTTGGGTAAAGGCTCTCTGCTGAGAATCTTCTTATTTGAAGGAGGCTGTGTAAAGCTGAGGAAGGTAAATGGAAATATTTTATTAAATTTGTCTGGCCTTTTGCGATTTCACTATTTGTTGACTGCGTTTTTTGAACTTTCAGCAACAACCACTTTTCATATTTATTTCCCATTGTAATGATGCCTGCAACCATTTGAAACTGTATGCTGTTCTGTGATGTAAACGTGCCAGCTAGTGAGCTGAATCCTTCTAGGCGAACGTAGCGTACGCTGCATACAAATCAGATGCTGGAAGGACTCCGAGTAGCTTAAAATAGGGTGAGGTTTTTGTCTCATTTTTTCTCATTTGAATGGGATATGTAAACAAATGCCATTTCAAAACACAAGCGAAGAACGAAGCTTCTCTTCTTCCCTAAATGTCTCAGAAGCCAAGAGCTGCAACTGAAAGCACAGCATAAAGCACCTTTCAAAGAAAGAGAATCTTTTTGCCACTGTTCCATAGAACGTAATTGCCAATGACACGTGAAGTAACAGGATCTGTATGTCGTTTACCAGAAAGGTATTGAAATGCGAGTAAAGAGCAAAAGCAGTTGTATTTTATACTGTCTGTACTCAGATCCACCTTTTTACTCTTTATGGACTTTACTTGGTTGCACAACCAAAGATTACATAAGGAGAAAATGAGATCAAATCTGCTCGTCTCGTAGCTGTCAGCTCCTTTTATACGATAGAGGCAGGCCATAAGGAGTGGTTGCGCCATCTGGACTGTATGATTTCAACTAATAAAAGAAATATTCTGTCTTCTTCACGTTTTGCCTTCAGGTCTCTTTCCCAGTATACTGGCAAGAAAATTGCAGATAGATAAGGGATGGAAATAAGTAATGCTGTCATTTTTTTTCTAATATTTCTTTTCTATGAGAAAACTCTGCTGGCTTTGAGGAGTGTGTTGTTGATGGACTCAGCCTGTCAAATGTCATCCGTAAATAACAGGAGGCTCTGTCATTTTTTCAGATCTCTTTACAAGAAGCTTTTCCACACAGTGGTATGAAGTGGAAAGGCACCTTTTGTTTGAGAGAAAAGAGCAGTCCATTCCCTCAAAGAATGTTCAAAATGATGAGTCACGAGCTGATGTCTGATACTGAGCACTTTGGACATGGATGCTTTCTTTTTCTGTGTATTCTGTGGTTTCCCACTGCCTCACATCCTCATCCATGATTTCACTTTGGCTTTTAACAGAGGGGGCCCTTATGCCTTTGGTTACCTTCCACCAGTCTTCAAAAATGAACTCCAGTGAAAAGCAGAATTTTTGCTTGAACTACTGCAAAAAAGAGGCAGACAGGAATTCTTGGTGCTGGTACGTAGGCCTGTTCTGGATTTCAAGAACTCTGCAGCATGCGGATGATCGAACAGGTGGCTTTAATTCTGTGATCACCACTCCTGTGTTGCCTTTATAGCCTGGGAAAGTGACACCTGACATAGTTTTCTGCCACTCTGTGCACAAAACTCTGTTAAAGTAACTAAGCGTCTTGTGGTGCAAATATACATGTTGGCTTTGAGAGCAGAGTTGGTTAAGGAGAGGTTGTTTTTAATCCAGATCTTGATAGTGGTCTCACTTGCACCCTGACCCACAGGGAACTGGCACGGAAGCTTGTGCCCAAGGGTGAGAATAAGGGGCAGGGCAAGGGCAGAGTTCAGCATCTTGGGATAACTTTGCTGCTAGTGCATTGTCTAACCTCACTCTCACCATGTATTCTTTCCAGGCCAGGAATTTTTTTAACCTGTAAGCATGCCAGGAGGAAGGTGGTGCCTCAAACTCCCGTCATCGTAACAGAATCAGTCACACAGGGACATCAGCCAACGTGCTGCCGAGAAAGAAGTGCCCCACAGTAAATTTAGGTCACCACAGGGAGGTGTTAACCTGGGACTAACAGCAAGATTTGTGCTGAGTGGTCTTTGCCAAACCCCTGACTCCTCATGGTTGTTGAGTGCAGTGCTCCTTTCCTTCACTTGACCGTTGCCCTCCGCTCCAGAAGCAGTTGCTCATAATTTGGACTAGCACCTGTTTGATTTCTGGTGGGCACTTTCTGTTGAAGGGCCCTGCTGCTTAGCAATACCAGCTCATATTACAAGTTTTCCAGCACATCTGCAGATTTTGTTCTGCTAACTTAGTAAAGTCGCAGCAGGTTCTGTCTGAGTCGTGCCTTAGTCCCCACAGTTGCATTGTCCTCCACAGCAGCAGTAAATCTTGGAATCAGTATGCATTTTTCAGACATATGCGCATCTGAAAGTAACACAGGAGTATTTAGTGGCATACTCATATTGGCTGTAGCTTCTGGAGGGGCTGCACATTAATGTGCAACAGAACATAATCTTGTTTACTCAGTGTGACAAAGAGTAGAATGGCACCGAGCTGTGTATTTCCTTCACACAGTCCTATGAGTGTTTGGATACAGTAAATTTAATATGATTTAAACTCTTGCTATTGATTTTTTTTGCAGCTGCTGTTGATTTTGGCAGAGAGTTGTAAACAAATTCCTTGCCTGAATTGCTTATAGGCAAATACTGCATGCTTTAATGAAGTTCTTAATCTAACTTGTCACTCTGCATACATCAAACAGTTTCTTCCTGGCCCTTTATCTAATTTTCTTCATCTCCGATGTTCTGTTCCTCCTCATTCTGTTCACAATCCCTTTATCTTTTCTTCAGGGACGTGCAACTCAAAAGTGTTTATTTTGACAATATTCCTCAGTGATCTCTCCACAGATGAATAATGCCTTTGGTGCACATCCAGTGATGCTCCCACAATAAAAGCCTTATCACAGGGGGCAATTTGGCCCTTTGGCTTTTCAGTGGAGCAAATTAACACATTAAAAAGAAGCAGATAGAAAAGCTTGCCTAAAATGTAATCGCAATTTCTTTCAGTAAACATTGGGTAAACCAGAGTTTCCAAATCACTGGTTGCAGATCAATGAGCAGAGCTGTCCACAAGCCTGGAGGCAGACTGTTACACAAATTCCCTTTGTAGTGCTGCCTTATTTTTCTTTTCAAAAGGCTTAAAGCGATTCTGTGAACTGAAATGTGCCAGTGCCCTAAAACAGTTTGTTTTCTAGAAGCTAAACACCACTCTGTTCCTTTTGTAGGATATGTGGCACATAAAGGTGCACTCATCCCATCAAACAGGGATGTTGTAGCACGCTGTTAGAGATTCTGATGCTAAGAAGGCTGTAAGGATGGCTTTGCTATAATGGCTGGGCAGATCTCACTATTCACGTTGCCTTACCATAGTGCCACAGATCGCATCCTTACGAGGGAATGAAAGAGATCTGGTGGAAAGAGCTGTTCCCAAAATCTGGTAGCTGCACGACTGAAAAACGTTACTGTGCACTCAGATGACATTGTGGAGAACCAGTGCCAGACCTTCTGGGTTTTTGCTCCCTTTGGATAAACAAAGATGTAAGGAGGACTTTCTTTGAACAAGCCCAGGCATCACTGAGGTCTCTGTGGGTGCTGAGTGTTAGACCTCCATTTTTACCTCTAAATATTTGATCCTCTGGAATTCTAGCTAGTTCCCCCATGCTATCACATTGCTGTCCTACACCTGTATTTGTAAGCTTTTCCTTTTTTTGGGGAAGCATGTCCTCACCAGGAAAAGATCTTTATTTGGCAAATAAGGACAGCACAGGACAGAACAGCAGTCACCTTTACTAGGATTAGGTGCTGACAGCTCTCAGGTATTTCAAATGCTTTTATTTTTATTACTAGAAGAAAGAATTACATATATAAGGCTTGAACTAATCTTACTACGGATAATGTGCTACTTTATGAACCTGTGTTGCTTCTGTTCTTCATATGAAATATACCTTCTGGGGTTCTGCTCTGTAAGTGTTCAGAGTTAATTGTGTAAATATTCTTTCTGTTCTTGCCAGGGAACTGAGCAAAGGATTTGCACAGCTCTCACTGTTGGTGTTTTGCATTGAATGATGGCCCAGTAACGATGCCTGTGTATTGGATGATAATGCATTTCTATGTTGTTTCCATTTAACTGCCTCGAAATTTTAGATTCCCTCTTTTCAGTAAGGGCATGTTTATCCATACTGGCAATGAAAAGACGTGAATTAGCATCCTGAAATTGTTTAATGAATGCAGGATGCTGGTTTGCTAAATTGCTTTAGGAAAAGGACATAATTCAGAAAAAAAATATGCTTACATTCTTGAGGAGGAAAAAAAAAGTTCACTTTATAAATTGGTTACATCTATAGCAGCAATTTGAAAATTACTCTCTATGATTTCCTCCCCCCCCCCTCCTCAGCTGCTCAAACTGTGGTTAGGGCAGGCTTTGACTCCATCATCGTGCACAGCTGATAAAAAACAAGTCTCCTAACTTCAGGCTACCCTTATAGTCACATGGGATGCTTACAGCACAGTCTGTTCCCCACATTTGTCCCTATAACTCTGTGTTTTCTACTGAGGTTATCCTAGCTGGCACGATGCCGTTAGAAGTATCAGTAATTTGTAGAGTGAACTTACTCAAACTAATAACGTTGGCTATAAACCCGCCTATAGATTTTAGCATTAAAATCCAGCTAATTTTAAAGCTTACAGATTGGATAGTATTTCTGCAGGATTTGCTTTCCTTAAGCTTGTCTTGAATGCTGGGCTCTCACATAAGCAGCCAGCTCCTGGCCCGGTCCCATACTGCATCAGGATCTTGGGTCAGCTCTGACCATGCAGACCTCCCCGCTCAGGTGGCACCACTTTGCTTTCAGGGAGCTTTCTGTTGACAGCTTTTTTTATTGCACTATCTTTCAATACATCTTGGTGGCAATCTGTTATTAGGTCAGTAAGTGTCAGCCTTAAAAAAAAAAAATCCAGAAAATTCTCGTCAGGGAATTGAAATAATTACGCTAAAATCAAGTTTCATGCATGTTAGAAGTTAGGATGGCGTCTAAGAACAAAGATGAGGGCTGTGTCAGTGTCAGGAACAGGAAAGCTGCTCGGCAACTCAATTAAATTGGGCCATAGAGATTTTACTTTCACTTAGCAAAAATCGGTGAGGTTCTGTTTCTCTTCTCACTGTATTTATAGGCAAATGGGGTGTGCTGCTGTGTAGGCTGAATGTGAACAAACGCCACGTATTGTAACAGACATCTAGTTCCAAGTAGGGCTACAGCAGTGATGCTTAGTGTTACAAGCACTGTAACAGGGTTGTCTTCAAAAGCTGAGGGCAGAACACGGCTCTGGATTTTGGAGCCATTGCATTCAGTGACACTATGACAGGTTTGGCCTATCAGCCTGAGGCTCTGGGACAACAGCACTGGCTATTCTGCCTTTTTGATTATGTAGCAGGTGTCTGTGAGGGTGAATTCTTCTTTGGCATCACTGCAAACCCCTTCTTGCTTTTTAGCATCTTAGCAGTACGTGTTACTGGGATTTCATCATTTTCACTTACGATCGCTGACATTTATCCATCTGTAATTTTCTCATTTCAAGCTTAAACAGGTTTTTCCATATGGGGACTCTCAAGAAAGTTGGTAAAACCTGTGTCAGTGAATTAAAGTGTGTTAGATCCCTGTGTGTATGTTCTCCTTTCAAAGTAGGGTGGCCTTTAATTCGGGTTGCATAATCCTCAGTGGGAGGATTCGTCACGTTGCACGGTTCAAGGTTGTTGGTGAATGTAAGGCACTGAGTGTGTTTCTGGCCGAGGCACTGGAGAGCATCTGCAAAAGGATTTTCCTTTCTGTATTCTCAGGGTGGTGGTTACAGCATACAGTGCAGCACTTCTAATAGCTGCCTCCTTGAGCTGCAGTCACAAAGCTCAGTACCTGCACACTACAGGCCTCATTCCTGAAGTCCTCTTTCTTACCGTAGTGGTTTTCAGCCCTCTCTGAATAACTGACAGCTGTATAATGAATCTGAGCTTCCTGGGATTGTTATAGATGCCTGGGACTATGCTAAAAGTAATGCTTTAGTGGTATAACAGAGCAAGATGTTAAGAGCACGATGTAAGTATGCCAGCATAATCAGGTTTACTTTTACAGTGCCATCACAGGTGTGCCTGTTCTTTAGTGAGAAAATAATCATCCTTTCTCTTTTTCTTCTTCATTTCTATCTGCCTGGATCTGGAGGACAAGCGCCCACTTTAGCATTCATGCAAGCAGCCACCACGTACAGAAATGTGCACACAGCATATCTGTTATGGATGGGTTTATCACTAAGCTGTGCCACCGTTACATGCTTACTGTCATTCCACCATGTAACTGTGCACGTTCTCCCTGTGTGCTCTTTCCCACCCTGTGTGTTGTCGCCAGTCAGAGGACACTGCTGCAAAGCTGTGCATGGAAGCTTAGAAAAGAACCTGCAGAACGGAAGCCGCTGAGATACAGCTCTCCTAATCCTGAAGAAATAGCGCCTTCCGAAGGCACAGATTGGGACCTGTGGTTTGTAGAACTTTCCAGGCGTTTGTGTTGCACGTCAGAAGATAACACTTCATTATAGCTCTTGCACTATATTCCAAAGCCCAAAGGAACGTTAAGTCAGAGGAGTGCAGAAGCAGGGAACAAAGCTGAAGAGAAAACAAGCTGCCTTTACAGGTCTGGAGACGCAGCAGCACCCAAGCAAGGCAGTGGTTCCGTGCTGGGGAATGACAGCAGAGTGATTTCTGGGCAGAGAATTAACATCCTGCTTGGCATCCCTCCGAGTGAGTAATGCATTTCAGTTCTTGTTGGTAGACTGTGGTGGTCATTGGTTTTGTTGCATTATGTTTGTCCTTAGCGACTGTTTTTCTCCTGTGGAGCTTTATTTATTTCATCATGATGACATTTTCACCCATTTGTTTCACATTAGGGATTAATCCAAAGCCGTGTAACTGGAAGTTTCTATCTAGCTTCTGTTGTCCCTCCATCGTGCCATAGGTGCACATCTCCTCAAAAGTCCTTATGTTTTCCTCTTGATAGGCTTCTCAGAAACCAGGCATTATTGGCATGCAGACTTCTGCACAGGGGCTTAGCAGGAAGCAAGGACTTTGCCTGTACCTCGTTCATACTAAAAGGGGTATCTAAAATGTCAGCCAGGGAAGAAGTTGACCATTCCTATTAAACATGCCATAAAATTATGTGATGTTATTACTGCGATTAATTGAGGCATTTAGAAAAACAAAACATTGTTAATAGCTGTCCATGTTTGAAGGAATAGTATAACTGATATAACTGAATAACTGACCCTGCACAAGAATTCCAAATCGCATACAGTTTTGCTAGGAAATAAGGTCTGTAAGAAGCAAACCTTATTCAGTGGGGTACTAGAAAATACGTATTGACAAAGATACATACTGGAGCTTTGTTAATCTTCTTAGAATCTATAAAGTATACAATTCTCTACTTGTGATTGAAACTATTTCAAATGTAAAAAGCTTGACCTCAGTGACGTGAAACTAAGGTCACCTTGATGAGATGCGTAGTATCAAGAAGGCACAGAGACCTGCCCTGCAAGGCAGGATTCTCATGATCAGCAGTAGGTTTAATTTCTGATTTACTCAACATTTTCCAAAGGTACATCGTGCTAGTCTGTGTGTTCTACACACACACATTACATAGCCTTAAAATTCTATTAGTCTTAGCTGCGGATTAATTGACCTTCCTTTCCCCTGTCTGCACTGACAGAATGAAATAATTTATCAATTTGTTTTCAAGAAAATTATCACAAGATACCCTTAAAAGACTGTCATTTGATTCCTCTTCTAAAACCATTCTGAGCAAGTGAAATCTTTACGTGGACCAGCTGGAAAAAGAAACTCTTAAATGGTCTTCATACAAGTGTCTGTGTTTAAGGTGGTCAACTGTGTGCATTTCCTTTTGGCAGTCAGTCCATCTGTACCAACATCATTACAAGACCAGGGCTCCTGTGTCTCCTTTTTGAACAGCTTCTTACACTTTTTAGGGCAACAAGGGAAGAAGTACAAAAGTACCAGTGGGGGACATTTTGCAATTGATACACGTGGATGCATTCAAGGCCAGGCTGGATGTGGCTCTGGGCAGCCTGGTCTGGTGGTTGGCAGCCCTGTGCAAAACAGGGGGCTTGAAACTTGGTGATCTTTGAGGTCCTTTTCAGCCCAGGCCCTTCTGTGATCCACCTTCAGCAGTATCTCAGAAAGCCCATACTTTTGACATGGTACATTTCTGAAAGTTCCTGGCAGCCACTGAGCTTCCCAACACTGTTCTCATCCAGCAAGAGATGGGCTGAAAGATCCACTGTTTGCGAGGAGCTGCAGAAATGAATGTTTTAGCATTTGTTGGGACTGTATCTGCCTGTGAAGAGGAACACACCTTTGTTTCTGACCTGTTTACTTCTCCAAGTAGAAAATGTAACTTCTACAGGGATGTTTCTGTACCCATACACTGAGAAAGCAGTTGTGTCATTTCTTTTTTTATTGCGACCGTAGACATTTTCTAATGCATCTCTTTGCCTTTCTTAAATAAACCAATGATATACAAGAAAATGTGAGTCCATTATAGTCTAGATTTCCTTCAGTTTGATGGAATTTTAAAAATGGAAAATATCAATATGGACAAAAAACTGTCTTATAATCCTGAGAACCAGCCATGTTTTCTTCATAAAGCCTCCACTATGTCACAGTTGTTTGCACAAGATGTCTTGTCCTGTTCTGAATAGTTAAGCATCTCCCTTTGGTTGAGACCTATGTGAAGTTTCAGGTAAAACTGCAGGAATGTGCTTTTTTAAAGTAAATTTTTTTTAAAGAAACTCTTTGGAATTCTGGAGTAAAGTGTTTATTTACTGCATGTATATCTTTATATACGACTGATTTCTTTTTTACATCATTTACATTATTTATGTCACAGAGGTGTCACTGTTAATACAGAACATTGTATAGAAATATTAAACTTCATTTGTTGGAAACAACTATGTCTTATCATACCTAAGATCAGAAATGCCTTAACAAATTACCTACATGGAATACAGAGGTTTTCTAGATTAGGAATTTGAACTCCTTATGGTCCCAACATCACCAGCTCTGTAACCTTTCCATCCCACCAGCTTTTGCTGAACTGCACGCTCAACGCCTTGCAATCTGGACACACCGCAGGAAAATGAAGAGGACCATGAGATCCTTAGTGAACAATGGCCAAGCAGAGGCCCTGTATTTGCTGTCTTAGGTCCCTACTGCTGGAGTTACACCTTCAAGTCCTGCTACCTCAATACTGTTACCAGTCCCACTATCTGTTAAGGACTACATTTTTGGCATACATAAATATTAGTCTGAAAAGCGGTCCGAGAAGCCAGGGCTAGAGATTTTTTAAAGACAAGAGCAAAGAACAGCTTAGGCAGGAATAATCCATTGCACAATCCCAGTGACCCCCCAGGCTTCAAGTGACTGTGGGAAAAGAGAAAAGACACGTCCCCCATCTTTCCACTGGACACAGCAAATTCAAACTGGAGGCAGAAGTTCCCAACTACAGCTCTAGAGGCCCTCAGCACAGATCATTTTAGAAATGAGCAATTTTAGAATCTTAGAAGCTTTCATTAACGGGAGAGTCACAATTTCTTCTGTTGGGAATAATGTACATTTGAGTGATCTCTGCATCAAGCAACAGCAGGTAGCAGCAGAGAGGAGGGGCTGGGCTGTACTTAATGCGTCCTGGAAAGACAACTGAGAAAAGTGAGCCTCATGTCAGCTGCCTGTTTGTTTTCTAGGAATCTGCCCCTCCCTAAAACAAGTGAAGCTCCCAAGCTGAATAAAATCACTTGGCTAGAACAACCTTCCCAGTACATGGCATACTCAGGCTGCATGACTTACCACGACTCACATTTCCATTGGCATTGCTGGTTGTACAAAAAGACTGAAACACAGATTACTCTTAACTGGTTATCTTGTCCAGTGCTAGTGATATGTAAGTTATCACTTACAATGATCACTAACAATGTTTTGATATGCAGGTAAAAACACTTTATGATTATTGCACTAGATTGTTATGTGACCTCAAAATTAATCATGATTTTCAGATTCTCAGTTAGCTGGATAAAAAGAAACCAACATAAAAACCCTAATTTCTGGTGCAGTGAGTCAGATCATGAACTTCCTACGTCTGCCTGTTCTACAAACATTAGTTAGTAATCCTTCTCACTGTATTTTGGGACCAACACTCATATTTCGTGCCTTATTTTCTGATCTCATCTGTAACCATTAAAAATACCCAGGAATAACTAGCACTTCTGTGTTGGCAATAGTTTTATCAGAATATCTAAGGTAAAGAACACATCTTGTTCATTTAATAAAAGTTATACCCATCTTTTTGAGAAACATTTGAAGTAAAAGAGCAAACACTTTTACTAAGCCCGATTGCTTTCATTGGGAGACCAGAGCTGCTGCATTTTTCCCCAAGTCCAGAGTTTGCCGATGGTCTGACCTATGATTTTCATTTTATTGTCTAATAGAGGTTCTTTGCAGAATGCAATTTTATAACATGCTCTTCTTCTAATTACAACTCTTCCTCACTAAAAACAAGCTACTTATAATTAAGAATGCTGGACAAACCTCTGAGGTGATTTTCTAAAACAAATAAATGCACATTTCTGTTTCAGAGAGGGAGGAAAGCTGAAGGAAAGAAAAGCAGTGTCATATGAACAAGAAGAGTATTAGTTTGCAGGCTGCTGTTAAGCTGCTGCATGAGGTATCACAGGCTGTGTCCTAAGAGCACTTCCTGGTACCCTGGATGCTGCCAAGGAGATCAAGACCTCAAGCCAGAGCAGTTTAGACTCTTTGGCACCACACTGTCACCCTGCATTAGTATCATTTTCTCCTACTGGCACTGCAAAGGAATATGAAGCTGTTAGCTGTGTGTCACAGGTATCACAAGCAGTCCTAACTGCTCTCTGCACTAGGAGGGAACTTTTTCTTACTGGGAGGTTGGAAGAGACCAAGGTCAAAATTCAGTCTTGATTTAGGGATTAAATTTTTGCTCTTAAACTGGTAGCACAGTATTGTCACACTCATCAATCTCTTGGTATTTCTCCTGCTGATACAAGAATTTAACTGCCATCAAAGGACATGCTGAGACGCCTATGGCCTCTTGGTAGGCCACCCCTGGGGGACAGCTGAGGACCTTGCTTCAGATCACAGTGCTAGGATTTACAAGTGCCCCCCACTACTGTGGTGAGCTGCCTCTGCCCCCAGTTTCCATTGAGAAAAGGCTGAGACAGCCCTTCAGTGCTTGACAAATTCCTTACTGAGATTTACAAGCTGACATAGCAACCTCTGAGTCCAAAAACCATTTTTTTAGGGGTAAATCTTCAGTTTGGCATTTCTGCTTTCCAGTTGAAACAACTCTCAACTTTGCTAGGTCTTGCCTGACAGCAGGAACCTTATGCTTCCTCCGCTGTGCTTAGAAAACAGAACTGCTAGGCCAATGCCACTTAAAATGCTGGCTATCCCTTAGCCACGTGGATCTAGTTCTTAGTTTACTATCAATCACTTATTCTCCTTCATCATATCAAAATATGCTGTTAGTAAATTTATTTACTATTAGGGGTGTATCTCCCTTTCTGTTTTTCAAGAGGTTGCCGTGTTACCAGCCTGGCTACTGGGTTTACCACTGCAGTATTTGGGGCATTGCTAACATAGTGCTCACAAGTGACAAGATACAATCTACATTTTTGTGCCTTCATTCTCAGTGCTGTCTCTAAGGCCAGGTCAGCCTATTCAGTACAGACCACCAAAAGGTCACCGGGAACATCTGTCCCACAGATGTATGAACCATCCAGTGCAACACACACAACCAGTGACTTCTGAAGATTGTAATGAGTAGAGCTGGCAGCAGCAAGAGTGTTTCACTGCAGCCTGCAGTATATTTACAACTAACACACTCTGGAGCCTGGAGTTCCTTATGCATAACAACTTGCTACATTTTAGCTTCTCAGTGTACATAGCTAAAAACTCTACCTTGTACTTCATGCATAGTGCCACATTTCCATACACTGCACACAATTAAACGCACAGATTTGCATGAATTTAAATGAAACCAAACTTCTAAAATTTCACATACCATTATAAGCAGCTGGAATCTCAAGTACAACATAAGCACATTATTTATACAGACAGGTAAAATCTATCTCTAAAAGGTGCAGCAAACCTAAGCATTCTTATTTCTCATGGCAACAGGTTGGGTTATTGCTATGTCCTTCGCAGCCTTCATGTGTCTCTTAACACTGGAAAGTCAACAAATAAAGGCTGTGATTAGCAAGTCATCCAGCTGTATCAGCATAGCTTGACTATGTCTAGAGAAGAACCAGAAAGAACAGTGAAAATGGCCTTCCCTGTGAGTGACCAATACCAGCTGATGTGCTCCAGCTCAGGACAGTGACTAAAGCAGGACAAATGTGATATGGTATTCTCACCTGCAGAGAGTCTGGCTTAGACAGAAACACTGTATATCAGGTCCTGCATGCTGTAGTTGTGCAGCCAGGATTCCCAGCAAAGAGAACACAAGTCCTGCTGCTCAGAGACAGAGGTCAAACTACCGCCATGGCGAAGAGAGAACGAGTGTTGAAGGTCCAGAGAAATAAATAAATAAATAAATAAATACATACATACATACATACAATCAAGTCTACAAAATTATTTTAGAAGATAAACACTTCCAGTAACAAAGAGTATCAAATATGTTTTCGCTATCCTTTTCTCTCTTCCACCATCATTAACTTATTATGGATAACATACGCACTGTAAACATCAGACTGCAGTTGTAACCTGGAAAACCAATCAACGAAAACAAAAGCAAAAGAGATGCCTCAATGGCAGATACCCACTGCACAACAAACCAGACACGAGCGTGTAGTGAAAGATGCCTTTTTTGTTGTTGCTATTCTTTCCCCAAACTCAAGATATGTCCTGGTAAGCTGGGATTCTCCTCCTGCTTCCTAAGAATCTCTTCAATGTATCTAAGTTCGATTAATATTCATAACTGAAAACACACTGATCTTTTTTTTTTTTTTTTTTTTTTTTTTTTTTTTTAGAAAAGATATTTTTTTTTCTTGTTCAAGAGTAAACAAAGAACTGCTTGTTCAGAAATAAAAACACAAATACGTGAATGGAATGACCTGCTTCAATGTATCAGTCCCTAAAAGCAATGACAAAATGCTATCTGCAAAGCATCAATGAGCTGAGAACTGCGTGAAAGAAGGCATTGGCTTCCAGTTCAGGTAGACCAGGTGACTGTTACTGTGGGAATGAAGTTAGTACAAGGAGAATAAAGCACTGTTCTTTAGGGACAAAAACCACACAGATTGACGTTTCTGACCTTTACTGTCACCACTTAGATGGCATCCACATATTGTCACTATTACTCAAGTCCTTTTGTGTAGCGCTTTCTCAGCGTGCCTGTTTCATCTGAATCGCCGGCTTTTTGCTTTTTCACTGCTGCGTTTTCATTTTCAAACTCCATGAACAGGTCCTCTGGGGTTGCCTCTTCCGCTTCGCTGCTGCTCCCAGAATGAAACACAGCATATTCTGCTATTACAGCAGGATCATCCTCCTCCTCATAACAGTAACAGCACTGCTCAGTGTTTTGGCTGCGTTGAAGGTCCTTCTCCCCTTCACTGATGCCAGCTACCTCATCTTTCTTCTGCCTTGAATCATAACTGTCCCTTCCCACGGTGAGATCAGATAGCAGAGCTTCATTGCACAGGTACTCCTCGTCTTCCATGCCCTCCATTCTTTCTGCCAGTTCTTCTGCAGAGGGCTGGCTCAGATCGGGATAATCTACGAGGATTGTGTCTTGTTTGCGCTTAAAGTGATCTGAGTTATCATAGATGGGATACGTCTCTTCTGGGTAACCTTAGGAATGAAGTGACAAGCAGCTTGAAATGTTAACAGCACATAAAAGTAGCACTAATTTCAGTGATGGATGCAGAAGTGTTACAACAACAGTTCTTGGCACTGACAGCATAACTGGCATCTACTTAAGGCTATGTGTTTACGACAGCATTTAATGTCACAGCAAGAACCACGTGCAAACCACCACTTCTTGGAAGATGATGACAAAACTCCTCTGATTTTTAGGGAGCCAGGATTTCAACCCAGACTTCCAAGAGCCAGTATTTAAGCTCTGCTGAAAGCTATGGGAGCTAATATGTGAAAACTGGGTGTCTTTAAATACACCCACTTTTGTTCCTTTCCATAGCATGATTTGTGCTTTACAGACTTTTTTTTGACAAAAAGCATTATTTATAAAGCTGGAAAACAGATATGAGTCAATGGCTCTGTGCCAAACACGCATCATGAGCCTGACTTCAGAAGACAGAGCTTGAGGCAGCTGTTTATGCTTTATATTAGGAAACGTTGCTTCCTAAGGAGCAAGGAATTAGATCTGCATAAAGATGCATTTAGAAATCTGAAGGCAAACAGCTCAACTGGGATGTCTTGAAAATACATTTCTGAAAGAAGTAAACAATAAGGAATAGAAAGGACATTATAATTAAGGATCTTTAACAGACTTCCTGGAGTTGTCTTTTACAGAACTGGAGCAAACAAATCAAAAGTAAAAACTTAATTTTTCCACATTGATTCTGATTTCTAAGGGCTCTACAATTTTCTATGAAATCCAGCCCAGCAAGGAAGGGGAAAGATGAACCTACAGCAGCCAAGACCTGGCAGTGTATGTGAATATTCATTTGCCACTTCTGGCAGCAGGCAGCGTAGACTTTATGCTAAAGGAAATGCTGGCTGCACTAGAATATTTTTTTTTCCTGTTACGGTTGGGAAAACAAAGCATCTCTTGCAAAGCTTTTAACATTGCTTTCTGAAAAAGAAAGCTGAAGTTAGATTTTGAAAGGAATTCTGACTACAAGTAAGCCCTGCTCAACTTTCCTCATCGGGGAAACGGAAAGAAAGGGCTCTTGCTTACCTTCCCAGTCCTCCATGTAAGGCGCTTCTTCAGCTTCTTTCTCAGGAGAGATGCCATCTATGAATTTGCCTTCCTTCATAACTCTAGTAATTTCTCGGAGTTGCTGAAGTAACCTTTTTTCCTGGTCTGTTGTAACATTTTGAGCTCTGGTAGAAAACATCAGACAACAGAATTCAGTCCACGATTATTGCAAATTGCTTACAGAGTTTGGGCACAACAGTCAGGGGAAGGACAGTCAGGGGAAACCTAGATGCAGTGTGATCACCATTTTTGTAGTCTGTGCTTCAACTCAGTAAAAAGGTTTATCCATTTACCTAGAAAGCCTGCAAACTTAAACAGGTCAACGCAGGCAGACTTAGACAGCATCCCATGGTACAGAAGACACTACCAAAACATTTTTTGTAAGAGTGTTAAGTGAGAATTACAGAACTGTACCCTGTTTGAAGCACTGTAAGAAAATGCAATTCAGAATCTAAGCTATATTTAAATAAAACATGGGCCTGATCAAAATGTCTCACACAGGCACTAGTCTCAATAGTCCAATGCTGTCCTATCACCCTTAAAGATACTAGATTTGCAAAGCCTCAATAGGAAGTAAGCCAGTTGGACCGATATTGAGCAAATCCAACAGTGATGCTGGTTGAGCACAAGTGGAGGAGCAGGAAGGCTTGAAACTGCTAAGTTGTTACATTTAACTTTAACTTGCACTTTAGAATCAGAGAGGGAGAAGACAGATTATCAGATTAAAAGCAAACTGTAATTCTCCCTGGTTCTACGTGGCTGATTCTTGTGATTACCACTAGCGATAACAGCATTATTCTAAAATGATTACTACTCCTCAGGTGAAGCAATTACTGTTACAACAAAGCGATCCTAACAGATAAGATTATGTAGTTGTTACATGCTATTTTCTCTATTAAAAAAAAAAAAATAAGCTCATGAAAATCTTATTGCAAAAACTAGTCTTTGGAAAGTGGTGACCTGAGCTCTAGCAAGTCACTCAGTGGGTTATAGCAAGGCAGATCACTAGCTGTACTTCAGGTGAAAATGATTCTGACTGGTTTTGTTTCATCTTGTGTTTCATGTTGTTCTTGAGAGGATGTTTGATCTCTATGTAAGGACCAATCCAGGCCCTCAGGGGACAGAGGCATTACTCTGGCTCACTTTTGAATCCTGCTGTGTTTTAACCAGGACCTACAACCTCTAGTTGTTCAGAGAGTGTGGCTCTCATCACGCACAGAATGCTGAACAGCAGGCATATCTCAGGTTGGACAGATGATCTCTGATGATCTCCACGCCATCAGACAGATCACCTCCAACTCAGTGACTCGGGTGAGATGGAGAGAGCACTGATTAATGATTCTGGATTTAGATGCTAAATATCTACATCAACCTCTTAATAAGTGCCAAAATTCTCAAAAGCTTGCAGCATGCACTCTTCAGTTTTTCTTCCCATTAACCTTTGTGAATAGATCAGCACCTTAATGGATGCCTCGTGCTACACACAGAGGAATGGTGATGACATGATGGCTACTTCACTAAGGCAGCAGTGCCATACTGGTGTAACAACAGAGATCAGCATCACATTGCTAGTTTGTTTTGTGCACGGTTACACACACCACTGCATGCTACAGAATGGAGCTCAGGAGCCACTGGTATCACCAGCAGCTATCCAGATAGGAACTGCCTTGTTGACACAAAGATTGAAGTGTCAGAAATCTTGTCCTTGCCACTTTCTCTGTGCTTCCCCTAAGAGGCACTCTGCCCTCAATCTGTAGAGCTGATACAGCCCCAACCCTACACAGAGGCTACACTGAGTCCCATCAAGCTGCGTGGCAGTTTGCTGCACAGAACAAGAGAAGGTGTGAGGCAGCATCTTCTCAAAAGCCTGGTTATGCAGATGTACAATTCCAAAAGCAAATTAACTGGCACGTGAAAATAAATGGTTTCATCAGCTAGCTGCCTTTGACAGAAGCTGTAATAGAACTGCCAAACTGATCCTCCTTTTCTAGACAGAAGTGTATGTAATTTGAATCTGTATCACCTGGATAAAGACAGACAGATCTGTCTGTTTAGCACAGTGCAGAGATATGCCAGCACAAATAACAGGATCGATCACTGCAGCTAGAAAGCAGTGGCATTTCATATCAGAATTCTTAATATGCTGAATATTCCCAACAGAAAGCAGTACTTTCTTACTGCAGCACAAGGTCTCCACAAGCATTTCAGAGATCCTTTCCCACTCCAGATATCTAATTTAAAACACAGGTTTTCCTTAAACAGGGAGAAATCAAAGTCCATGCGTTATTTCTACTTAATTTAAGGTCTCCAGGAAGACTTAGCTGTAGGATGCTTGCAATGTACGAGATGTCTGGCTGCCTGTATACAGGAGATTTACCAGGGTACAATGAAATAATCACTACTTAAAATGCACTACAGCCCCCAAAATGTATCTCACAGAGTACCACCTCTTTTCCTCAAAAGCTTCAAAGCTTGGGTGTATTTGGAAAAAAGAAAACAAACAGCTGTTTGCTGCATCTAGAGGTGCCCTCCTCTCTTTTAAAGAGAGGCTACATTCAAAATTCACTATGAGATTCCATTTCTGATTTCCCCCGAGGTCCTTAGATCCATGTATATAAATAGTTTGGGTGAACAAAGGGAAGCATTACTAAATAAATGCTCTCAGCCAATTGCACTGAATGGAACAAATACTGCATTGGACCCTAAACTCATTTTATCAGTAAAAAATATTTTATCCTGAGTACTTGAGAGGCATACAAGCCTAATTCTGGCAGCCTAAAGGTAAGTATAAAACACTGCTAAGTTCTCCAAGCAGGTGAGTCAAATAGTCAAAACAGTGTCCTGTTTCACCAGCAGACACAAGGTAGCTTAGGGATTCCCACTAAAACTCAGCCTAACTCAGGTATATTTAGCATCTTGCCTTGCTGAGGACACTGCTGCTGAGGCCCTGGTTACTCAGAGAAGACAGGATTTGCAGCGAAATGAACTCAACAGGCAAGTTCAGCACAGAATTGTTTCTAAAGAGTGGTTTAAAATCGAATCACCGACCAATCCAGGAGAAGTTAGGTGTTACAAGCTATCTTTTTTGCTTGCAGACTGCCTTGCACTTGTGGTGTTTCATTTTCCAGACACTGCAGTTATGCATTACCAAGCTGATGCCTTGTTACACTTCTTACAAAAAGTATAAACTTGTTAGCAACATTTCCTTCCAAGGCAGACTATGGCTCTCAAATTTAAAGCAAACATTAATAAACATAATATATGTTTGAACCCTGATCTTTCCACTCTTTTCTCTTGTATTTCTAAGCAAATGCATGCATTTACTGGTTATGGAGTGGAACCAAATTATCATACATGTTATTATCAATTCTGCCTTTAAACATGTAATTTATGGAAATTCTAAGACATTTACACAGAATATCAAAGCATTTATATTAAAAAAAAAAAAAGCCATAGCACTAGAAAACACCATAAAACAAATTTTTCTCTTGGGAATCACTCAGAAAATTATTCAGTGACATAAAACAGGTTGTTTTATGTACTTTAAATATAGACAAAATAAACATTTTCAGTTTAGACATAGCTGTCTACACTCCTCCAAATAAGAAGAGGTTATCCTCCAAATAATGCACTATTCAAAATGGGGAGGGTAAGGATTGGTTGTTATTCTGTTTAAGGAATGTGAAGTTGGAAAGAATTAGTTATTATATAAATATTGGCCTTGAGAAAAAAAGACTGCAGGACGAAAAGCACCACGCTTAAAATTAGATTTCTACACTTTGAAGTAGAACTTACAATGCTACTTTTGCATAGCCAATGTAAGAAAATTCAATTCCTAGTCAGAAAATAACTGTTCCTTAAAATGCTGTGGTTTGAAGCATACCTGTCACAGTTAGGACCTACTCTGTTGATTAACTTTTCCATAGCTTCTTCAGTCTCTCTCAGCTTTTCCTGAAGTTGGGTGAGCTCATAGTCAGCTGTAAAAGGAACAAAATCCCAAGATCTGTCAGTGGGAGCTTTTAAAACCTTTGTCTCTTTATCACAGGTAGCAAACTGACTGTAAGGAAACCAAAACACACAGCTGAATGAGTTCAATAGATTTTTCCTGGTGTAACGGTGACAAGCATTGCCAATGATAACGGGACACACAGAAAGCACCTTCTTTCCATGGCTCCTCCCAATAAGCAGAGTGAGTGAGGCAAACAGAACAACTACCATGGGATTGGTGGCACGTGACCCTGCACGGGTGTGGGAAGGCAGGCAGGGAAGCTATCCATCCATCGGGCTCCCCAGGATGCACATCAGCTAACCACATGGTGTCTGGAGAACAAAGCACTGCTTTAGAAGGTACAACCACAGAAAAAAAACGTCCACAGTACAGTAACAGACACACGTGCACAGGTCTGGGCACACCCGTACTGTCTCTAATTTAGTTGAAAGAGTTAAGAGTTTCATAGCTGAGAATTTGTTCTCTCAGCCAGTGTTACTGCGCTCTTTGTAACTCTTGCATCTTCCATGGGAATAAATAGGAGGCATTACTTTCAGAGCAACTTCTCCACGACAATTTTCTTACTCAGCCCAGGCAAACCAGAGGGTTGGACGCTCGTGCATTAAGAGAAAAATATTCAGTTACCATTGTTAGTAATTTGCACTGAATCTCCGAGCACGATGCAGTACAAGGGCACAGAAAACAGTCTGCACACCGAGTGTGTTAAGCAATGCCAGGTTTTGTATAAGTTAATGACAGCTATGAAGAGCATTAGCTCACTGTTCTTACTGTTAGCATTTTCTATAAGCTCTCACTTTTCTTTCCTGTTTACAATTTAACCAGCTAAATACAATACTTTTAAATACTGATGGGTAACTAATAGCTAATACATGTCTACAAATAGTTGAATCTGTTAACTCACTGATGTTTAGCTACAATCATAGAAATATTTCAGAATCCTGCCTGCCTTCTTTATATTGAAGTCGCTAGTAAGTTAAGCGGTGCAAACAGGGCATGGAAAAAGTAGGGAAGAGGCTGCTAATGGCTAAGAATTCATACATTCAAAAAAGAAAATATGAAGATAGCTTGTAAGAACATGGTATATGTTATTACTGGAATATTATAGATGACATCCTCTTATCTATCTGCTAATTATTGGTCATATTAGCTTTGCAGCAAATAGCTCCAAGGCCACTATTATATATTCTCATCAGCCAGATGAGATTAGAAAGCAATGGAGCAGTAATTCACTTTAACACAGACTCTTCTGGCTTGCTCCTCACGCAGTGGAACAGCTTCACAGCATGTCCAGAACCTGAAGAACTCAGTGAGTCTGTGACTATACAGAGTCAATGGCTTCTCACATACAACTTAGAAATGAAAAGCACTTACTGATTTTCCTCTTCATGTTTCCAGGTGCAGCAGGAAGGCATTTCCGTTCTCCAGGGGTAGTTTTTCCCTTGGAAGCCAGCTGATAAGTGAAAAAAAGCCAACCCCTCAGTGAGTTACAGCCATAGCAATATACGAGGCCCAAAGGCAACCAAGTAAAGGACAGAAAGCTAAAATTATGCTAGGAAATAATCACAGAAAAACATCCCCAGCAGCAAAAACAGACAACCATGAAAGATGCCTAGGAGATCTTCTGAGCTGAAAATTCCTAAGAGACATTTGGAACAAATTTTATTTTGAAGCATAAAGAAAGCATAACATAATTTTAGAATATTTATCTGTTGCAGGAAAGGGCCTGATTCTATAGCTATTCTGCTTATCCGAGGGAAGAAATTATTGTTTTGAAACGTGAAAAGTGAAACGTTCTGAAGGAGTTATAAGTGACCCCACTTGACTCCCCCGTGTGTTCTGCCACTGATTCCTTACCAACTTTGTACGTGCAGCAACAATACCACCTGGCTCTGCAGCTGCAAGCTCCCTATTTCTTTCCTCTTCTTCCTGTTTGATCAGCTCACCCAAGTCACCTTGCCCTTACCCTGGGACTTGCCTCCTCTCTGGAGTGGGCTTCAACTCTATGAACATCTGTCTGCCTTAAACTCCTGCTCAAAGGAAAAAAATACATAATCTGCAAGCCTTTGTCCCCTTCTTCCTTCCAAGCAGCGTGTGGGTGATGACAGCCAGCGTGGCACATCTGTGTCACAGAAAGCTTGAAGTTCAAATCAGGTGCAAAACATTTGGTTGGAATTAGGGCTGTACTTTCAGCCAGCACCTCAGCTGGGGTAGTTCCAGCATGGTCACTGCAACCTTACAACTCCCATTCTTCACCAACAGGGTGCTTTTGTTCGAGAAGGAATTCAACAACGGTACCCCATCTCTCCCTCTTTAAATGCATATTGCAATCCATGATATATACAGTGTGTATAATATACAGTATTTTATAAAAAAACCACTATGTGTACACTCAAAATTAACCTGTGACCAGACATACATATTTTCCAGCAGAAAAAAAACCAAAAACTTGACAATTTTCTCACATCAGAGGCCAACACAGGATCATAGCAACACTTTGCTGCACTCAGTTACAGTTTTTGCAATGGCAAAAACTATATAGTATACATCCATCTTCCAAGTACCAGTCAAAGGTAAGTATGTTTTTGAGCAAGGCCAAGATGAGACCTGGTACAGAACTAGGACTAACATTTCTGTTTTGAGCATTTTTAGTTTTTATACTCTTGACTTTTCAACCATTTTCAATTTTCTTACCTTAAATAAGATATACAAGATGTACAAGAAGATGCCAAATCCATATATAGGGATGATTTGCCCCACAAGACCTCTCCCAGCTCCACCAGCACTTCCACCACCTCCTCCAGCCTTGGCCTTGGCGACTGCTTCAGCAAGGTGAGACCTTGGGAAAGGAGGGGCAGCGCGGCTGTCGGGAGTTGCCTGGTAATGCATCCTTGGTGGAAAGCGACCGAGTTTCCCTGCAAGAAAACACAGCAACCATTTCTTTTTCTTCTGTTACTTTTCACCTTTTTACATGCAGTCCAAAACTCAAACAGGTACAGCTGGTCTCTTATAAATGCACCACCAGTTATGAAAACATAGCCTGCAAGACCATAACTAATATCTGCAGACTGAGTATTCAGTTTAAATAGCTTAACTCATGCAAGTACCCACCTGCAGTTATTCTTCTGGAAGTGAGACAACAACACTGTGCTAACATTTGTTCATACTAGGAAACACCACCATAGCTAAATTCCCAAAGCACAGAAAATTGCAATAAGCATATTAGGAAGTGATATCAATAATCTGTGATGTCCCACTATTAAAACATTTTTCTTCTAGGTGATGACACTGATTTTTTGACTTCAGTGGCTTCACTATGGCTTCAGTGAAACCACACAGGCGTGCCCCACTGACCAGAATGCTCTCAGACTAAGCCTTCACTACAAGGAAGCTGTTACAGTGCATCTGAATTGCAGTGAATTATTCAAAGTATACCACGGAAACCAAAGCACCTTATTCACAAGAAATTCTCATTGCTACAGCAGAAATGTAGCCTTTGTAAAATGTTTTACATTCATGCAAGTATTCTTTATTCATGGAAAAAAAAAAAAAAAAGAGAACAGAGAAAATAATTGGCAAAGGTGAACCTGTACTTAAATGGATTAATTTGAGGCCAAAAGCATACACACTGGGCATTTGATTATCAAAATAATTCTCAAGGACATTTAATGGCTTCTAGCAATAGGTCCTTCTTGTTGATTTTGAACTTTTATAATGATCTCCTTTTTGAAATGTCCTCTATTGTGAAGAACCCATACAAACCGTACAGGAAATCAATGGCACATGCAAGTTGCCACGTGTGAAAAGAGCTGCCAAATACATGGTATATAAATGAGAACATGCAGGCATCTGGATGCCACTGTCAATTACACAACCTAACCCGTGCTATGACAGGATCCTAATGCCCCAACACAGCATAGGTGATGCGACTGCTTAATAGCAGTATAATGTCAGAACTTCTTAGTTCTTCATCTTTCAGCAATATTAAGGCTCAGCTGAACGTAGAAAAGCTTAAACACAGGTAAAGTAAACCCACCACAACAACCAATCAGCTGATAATACTCAGACCACCCAAAAGAAATCTGGCATGCACTACACAAAATTCCAACTGGGCAAATAAGTTGTCTGATCAATCTTGTGTTCTCCTGGTACTCCAGCACAACACAGCACATCCACAGTGAGTTATTGTAATATGTGTTAAACTATTATAGGGGAAAAGAACAATTTTCTTCTTGGAATATCGATTTATAGAGTACCATGCCTAACATTCTCTATGAATAGACTACTTCCAAGCTGTTTTAATGAAAAGCCCTATGATAACATGCATTTCCAACAAGTGGCAGTAACTTTAAGAATGCCTTATTTGGAAGCATTTTGCATTTTCCCCCCAAGACTGCACTAAGTATTTTATTAACTTCAAGAATTACACTATTCAAGTCTCTGAAGCTGAAGTTTTTGGCAGGTAGCCACAGTTAGCAGGTCGCTCAAGGAAACAGTTAATGACAAGAGATATGAACTGCTCAATCAAGATTTATTCTACCACTCAAAACCAACTGCAGGTGAAACAAAGTTTGGTCTGCAGAGGTGTAATGACATTCCTGCTATCAAATTGAAAATACAGACAATAAATTCTAGTCTGAAGCTGGCCAAATGAGATGAGGTATTACACCCTCAGCCGAAGTCAGGGGCTGGAGCCAATCACGGGATGAGCTGAGTGCTCTTCTGATCCAGGGACACAGTAACCTGGGAGGTATGGATACCTCTGACACCATACAGGAAACTATTTGAGCTCTCTTCTGATGATGGAGAGAGCACTTATGCTGTATCTAATCCAAGCATTTAGCAATGGCTGATCAGACACCATACAACAGCAGTGATTACAGCAGACCGTGCCAGAACAGGTGACAACATCATTAATCAGCAAATGCCACTGAAAAATAACTTGGGGCATTTGCTTTCGGTTGGTTATTGGTTTTTGCCTCAACACACTCGTCACCAAGCCGATGTGCTACATGGTGGGCACTTGTGGGTGCCAGCACCTAAGAGCGATGTATTTGACGTGCTACCAAAAAAAACTAGCTATGATTTAGGTTTCTCACGTTCGAGATTATCTAATGAAACTACAGACCTGTGGATCTGCAGCGTGCCTGAGCCTATACTCAACTCCCTCAGAACAAGAACACACAGCAACCACTGAAGGACAGCCACAGCACAGCACTCACGGCTCTCAACGCAGAGACCTATTCATCAGCCCTGACGGACGCGGCCCAGAGGGCGAAGGGAAGGATGACCGCGCCACGCCTCCACAGCGGGCGGCGGCTCACCTCCCGACGCGCAGCGCCGCGGGGAGCGCAGAGCCGCGTACCGGCGGCGGCAGGACCCGGAGCAGCCCGGAGCAGCGCGGCAGGCGGCGGCCTCTTACCCTCTGGAGGAGCGGGCGCTGCGAGCGGCGCGGCCCCGGGCTCCTGCCTGCCGCCGCCTCCCCGAGACAAGAAGGTCCGCGGCAGGAGCAGCGAGACGCAGAGCACCAAGCAGGAGACCGCGGCCACCCTGCGGCACGTCGACGGCGCCATGGCGGCCGCCGGGCAGCCGTAACGGACCGTTAGGCAGCCGCCGGGCGCTGCGCAGGCGCGAGTGGCGCGCGCGTGCGTCGGGCGGGAAGCTGAGGGGGCGAGGCGCAGGGATGGGCTGCGCGCTGCCGCCCTCGTCAGAGCTTCGGTGCTTCCAGCTAGGAAAAAAAAAAAAAGCCGGCAGAAAAGGCTGCTGTAGGCTCTGACCCACCAGCTCCGTCCTCATATGGAATCATCCCCTGCCTTGCAGCACGCGGGGCGGATGAGGGACGGTCCAGAGCGCGTTTAAAACTAATTCGATGTGCTACGATGAAATGTAGTCTTTACAAATGTTTGGGTCTATCCTGAAGCTGCCTTCCCGCTGCATTGGGAATAACACATCAATGCAGAGTGTTGCTTGTGCTAGTTCGTGTTCACCAACTTAAGCAAAAAACCTGCCAGTCACGTTAAATTAAATTATACGATTTTGTATTTCCATTATATTTATATTACACTATATTACTGTAGCTGAATTAGACTATTTTCTGTGGGTCTGGGCTGTGACTACTGAATTTAACTCACTTTACGCAAGAGTTCCCTTTAATTAGGCTTGAGCTGAGAGAAGAATTGCTCTGACTGGCACTGCAGGCCACTACAGCAGCAGAATACCACAGAGTCTTAAATTACTACAGAAGACATTTCCATTGCCTGGACAACTGGCACTGGGCTGATGATTCCAGTAATGGTTCTTATTGAACACCTTGGCCCTGCGGACACAGCAGCCCCTGGACAGGTTCCCACTCACTATTATTGGATTAACCTGGCTGAACCGTCTCCTTCCACAACTCTGCAGCCAGTCACTCGCCAGCTCTCACATTCCTCACAAGAGAACTTCTGGCACTCCCCGCTGCTGCTCTTGGAAATAAAAGTTGTTGGTACTATCGGTTCAGTGCCTCACTGTGCTTATTTCCTAACTGTGCCACCAGCTGTTGGTGCTTAAAGTGGCAATCAGCGGGTAGGAGCATTGAAACAAGCCTCACCCTGATCAGAAACATGTGATATCCAATACATGTGTGAATCCAATAACAACAAATAATTAAATCTGCGATACAAATGCATTGTTATTCTCTCATCATCACCACAAGAGATCTCTTCACTGAAACAAAATATTTCTTGGTAATCATGCAGTCATCAGCATGATCAGATGCTAAAGTTACCCAGTGTATTGGTCCTTGAGCATAAACAAACTTCCACGACCACAAGGTCAACATATGCTACTACAGCACTCTTGTGAGTCTCTTCTCATTCCACTTGAATTCCTGGGATGCATAGAAACGACAACGAGCACTGAGAGAACAGCACCACAACCTGAGCCTTTCAGGTGTTAAGTGCAGCTGCTAAAGAATGGTTTCACCACTAGAAGTGCCAGGTGTTGTCAGGGCAATTGATTCAAAACAAAGGTAGCTGGGGGCTTCCTTCTTTCGGTCATGAGGTTTAGATGAAATACATTGACTTTCTGCTCTCTCTTGTTCCTAGAAGAGACAACGGAAGAAAGAAACAAATGCTGATGGCTGTTTTCCCAGTATTTTTACCCATGCCATTCAAAGCCTAGGAGGAATAGAGAAACTGATGGTCTGAAATTTACTTTTCATATGAAATCACTGGCTTTCTAAGCCCAACATGGCAGTTGGCCCGTGGCTCTCTCAAGAAGGCAACAGCAGCTCAAAGCTAGAGCAAGGAACTCAATATTGGGACTGTACACAGAGACTCCTTGTGAAGTATTAAGTCATCAAGTTATGTTAAAAACAGAAAACAAGAAGGAAGACTCCATAAATCCTACTTTTTTTCCATAGCCAAATACAGAGCTCTTGAAGTGAAAGCTAAGGTCATGGGTCTTAGTTTTCACAAAAAGCACAGGTAGATTTCATGGGTAAAATCCTTCTGATTCACGTTACTCTAGAAGTCAAATGTAATCACACACACATCCACAAAAAAAAAAAAATAAATAAATCTTACAGAAACAGAATCCTAACAAAGAAAATCAAGAGGGTGCTTTGGGTAATTTTCTGGTAAGGCAAAATACCATAAGTATGTTTGGACCTAAATATAATGCACAATTGCGCGCACAGTCCTCAGAAAAGTCAGCCTTGTGGACTTTGCTGTATTTGGATTGCTTCGAATTTTATTTGCCATCACATCAAAAGGGATGTAGTCACAGAATGACATCCTTCTAAATGTTAGTGTTCATAAATACATTGTTTGATTTGTATTTCCAAAGAAATACATATAAATGCAGTCTTAGCAATATTCAGAAACAATGCTTTCATAGCAAAATACTTCTCAAGTAGTATAATAGGTATTCATCCGGTATTGATAACAATCTCCACCAAGTGATTTGTTTTGAACTTCTGCAAAAGAACTTTAGAAAGGAAATTCATTTTCTTCTCATCTATTTTACGCTGATATTTCCCCAGCTACCTATCTCTTTGCTGTTCCATCCTTACCAACTCCCTGAGTTTCTCCTTATCGCTGGGAAATGTTAAAAAAAATAAATACGATTTATCCAGTATGTATCAGAAATATATATTTCTTTGCTTATTGCTTTTCTGCTTTTTCTAAAAAAAAATTGTGCTACTTTATTTTGCTTGAAAACTCATAACCCAGGAAATGGCAGTGGGCAATAGGGAAATTGCACACATTCTTGCTAATATCCATACTGGGTGTATCAGCGTTAACACGACCATGCGTTTGCACACATATTTGCAACTTTTGCTGTTGCAAAGGGAAGGGTCATTTTCAGAAGCTAGAGGCAGTTTAACACGTCTAAGTTAAAGTATGCACAAAGAGGTGCTACTTGGAGCCACAATCTGCAGCTTAACACAAGAATACTAAACTATGAATGATAAACAATACTCAACCATTCTGAGAAACTGGAAAGGCGTGAAAGCTCAAGTACGACTGTTAATACTTTAGTGAAGAGAAAATTAATGTGAAAGAAGATGAATTAATCATTTTAAGCCTGTCTTCTTTTTGTCTGCTCATTCTTGACTGGCCACATATAAATTACTACAATAATGAACAACCCTTGAAACGAATGCAAGTTAGGAACAAGTTAATCCAACAAACAAGTTACTTAAGAGCCTCCTCATATGTCTAGCCCTTGCCAAAATACTTGTCAGCACTGGTTCTCTCCCTTAGCTTTGGAAGATGTCTATGAATGTCTCTCATTGCAGAGTTTCTTAGTAATAAAGCCCAAATGCTGCAGTCTTAGATAAATTCAAACACCAGCAGAAAGTCTAGAAGCTTTTTTTCTGAGGAAAAGTGTGATGCCCTGGCAATTCCCACACATGTAGATTCACTGTATAGCAAGAAGAAATAAATGGTTACATGAGACCCATGCTAATTACTGGGAAGATTTCCACAGAATGCTGTGCTTGCTAGCCTCCAGGGGATTTTAGTGCACAGCTCGAGAGCCTAGCTGGTAGACTCTTGCAGTTGCTAAGTCAGTGCTATCCTTAAGTGGTAAAAATGGGCCACATCCCGTGTGCCTTCTGTGGTAGCGCTGGGGCTTCATGAGCAGTTTGGAGCAAGGATGTGGTTTCTTGTCCTCATTGCATGAGCAAATAACATACCTCCAAGCCTTCCCCATGCTGAGAATTGCAGGGTTTGCCCTAAATGAGGAGTGTTGACTAGAGACTGGCTGCATGTTTGCCAGTTCCGTGATGCATTTATGATCACATAAGGTGACAGGTGGGATGGTTCACACCTTAACTGTCAGTCCTTGTGATGAGCAGCACATTAAAGGGGATGGATTAACTGTGGTCCAGGCGGTGCCTTGCAGAGGGAAGACCCTTTCCCCACATCCTTCCTGCTAGCATTAATCAGCGGAAAGAAATCTCAAGTTTGAATTCTTTGGGCCATCCTGTCACACGCACACACACACACACAAAATAAAAATAAGGGAGGTAGTCCTCTGCTCCAATTAATTAAACAAACTGATATGAATTCCCTTCTTAAATTGTACTTTGCATATCCATAATCTCTGCACTACATTTTATGTATACTTTACCCCTGGGTAAAAATTTGTGAGCATATAAATGCTTTCTCATATAATCTTGCTAAAGCATGCTCTTGCCTATAAATATTCATACCAATGCCAAAACATTTGCAAGCTTTCCCCAAAGGTGAAATATGTGTAATGTACTTTGCCTTCTGGGTATAAATATTATCCAATACATTTTGGTTAATATGAATACACTAATTATTCTTGTAACCCTTTTTAAAAGGGTCATCCTCATGATGTGAATTTTTTAAAAATGTAATTACAGTAATTGGATACTTAATCTAATTAAAATTGGCTTTATCTTTAATGGAAATTTTTCTAAAGAGGCAGAATGACAATTGACTTTCTGATAATCACTGTTTTCTTTCAGCTAGAGGATGCTTTTAGTACATACAGTAGGAACTAGAGAACATGGCCTCTTTACTACATGCTTGCCACCTTAAGAGCCAGTTCAATGATAATCGTATCCATTACCAGGCAAAACTTTCACTTTCCTTGTAAATAAAACTTCTGCATCCTGAGTATTGATTTCATCGTTGTTCAGATACGGTTAATTTAAGGATTACCTGCAGTGCTGACTACTATGCAAAGCTTACCTTGAGAAAGATGCAGTCTAGGTGATGGTGCGTACCTCACTAAGAGTGTCTCTTTAGGTGGCTTAGGCAGTCACATATGTGATGGGCTTCTCTGTCTTCAGTGGGTGCATCTGCACCTCGGGGTGTATGTGAATTGAAAAATGCCATTTTCTGATGCTGTTGAATGGAAAATCAAAGCGAACGAAACAACAGAAGAGCTAGGGGCTGTGTAAGGGTAAGACTGGAGAGGTTGATTAATGGTGTTAGTTTCAGATATCGATGACATTAATTTTTATATCTGAGACATTTTTATTTAAAAGTGGCTACTCTTAAGGTGGAATTCATCTGATCATAGGTGATCTGCTTTCAGACCTGATAGATCACAC